TTTTTGCTGCCATTTTTGTGCAAAAATTTTCAGAATTTTAGGCAAAAATGTAATTCCCCCCCCCCCCCCCCAAAAAAAAACTTCTGATATTACGTGTAGATTACATTTAGAGTAATATGTATGTATTTTAACGTTTTTCAAAATTTGTCGTAAAGGTCTAAAACGTGGATATAAAAGATTGAAATTGAACAATGTAACAAGAAAGTAAATGGTAAATCGCCGAAATTTCACTCTAATAGGAAATATGTTTCCTTTGTATTAACCTATTGTTCTGGAAGTAAGAGAAAATCACTTGGGTAAATTTCACCATTATCCTTTGTCAAATTCAACCAGTTTCCCATCCTCTGCCGCTCTTCATTTGATATCATAATCGCGTCATAAAAAACTTAGCTTTGTATGCTGGTCTGTCCGGTAACACGCAGGACCACTGGTCCGTTTTTTATTGCACATTTATAATTCAAACGTTTATATAATCTGCAAGTCTCAAATTATGCTATGATAGTCTCCGTTTTCCCTTTCTATGTGCACATATTGCAAAGTAGTCTTGTGGGATATAAGAATGACGCAGCATGATAAGATGACACTTCTTTCAATTTTGTGTTGTTCACAGAATGGCTCTTACTGGTTATTAGTACATTCTTTTTATGTAACTTTTATGCGTGATCAAAGTCTGGCTGGCGCACATTTCCTTTAGGGGAAAAGAAAGTGATTTATGCGAGAGTAAAAACACGTTTTGTAAAAATGATCCGATGAGTTTCCTATAGCATAATGTGAAGCTATATGTTTGAAATAAATCATCTTTGCACGTGAAGTTTCAAAAAGTGTTTTTAGTGATATTGGTCACCTGACAATATTTTTTCCATGAAGTATTAGTACTTCAGTAACATCCGATTTCCATTGTGGCATTGGCAATTCTCTTGTGCCTACCAACCACACTATCGAGTTGCAAACTCAGATATTGCTTCTTTGAGGGTTTTCTTCACTGCTTTTGTCCTTAGTTTAAAAATCCTGTTTTTATTGGGTGTGGAGGGGGTGGCAAGGGGCATGGTTACCTTCAATGAAAGAGATGTTACATGCTCACAAGAAAATCGCTCTCTGTAACGTACCACTCATTCACATATTGGTTCACAATACTAGAACGAAGGAAGGCAAGCCAGCGTTGCGCCTCCTCGGGGTATGCGGTCGATTTATGTTCTCCACAGGATTTGCCTGCCAAAACGTATTTTCCTCGAAAAAAGGGCAATTTTCAGCTACTTACGAGACATTGTTCGACCCGTCTCTGCGCTTGGATTCGATTAATTATTTTAAATTTGATTTAAAAATTTAGTTCCAAATGACTGGCCAGTTATTTATACTAAGTTTTTCAAACGTATTGGTCATCTTGATTGTTGTGTTTTGCACATAACTTGAAAGTTAACGTAATGCGCAGAGGAAACCATGAAACAAGCGGTCTAACTGTGATTCAAACTCGGTAAATTATTGGTGGCATACACAGAATTTATACTCCAACTGACGTGACAAATTTTCGGCAATTGTAAAAGATGAAAACCAAATGCGTGGCATTCTTCCAACTCTGTTCAAGTGATTTGGGCTATCTGAGCATTTTATGTAGAATACACTATAAACAAAGCAATCTGTGTTGAATAAGCCCCCAGGTGTTTTCTGCATAGGTGTGGCGTTTGCCACAAGGCACCATAATCGAAATTTTCCAAATTTTTCATTTAAAAACTTCTAGATATGCGCTTGAACTTCTAAGGTCAAGTGTTTGAAGTTGACCTCGCCAAACACAAATATTACCTTACATTACCGGGTCAAATTATCTCCCGCGGGAACACATAGTCTATACATGTATAATTGGGTGCGGGCCTGTGCTTACAACCTTGCCGCTAAATGTTCTAAATGTGCTCTCATTTGGAAAAGAACATCCTGTCGACACATCAGTTCCGAAGCCCATAAGACATGCACTTCTCTCTAAAAAAAAAGGCCATTTTACATGGTTTAGGAGTGGTATTACTTTAAATATGATTTTTTTAATATGCAGTGAATTTCAGATAAATTGAAACGTGTAATATCTCACTACCTAAAGAAATAAAGATCTCACTTATATTATTACAGAAGCTTTATTCGTCTTTTTTAATTGATGTTTTAGAGGTCAGATACTTTATTTCATAAACAGAAAGATCAGAGGCGTGTCCACATGCTGCATTTGTTTGTGGTCAAAAGATGCATTTTCACAAGTGTGTCTGACATTAAACGTTTTAACTCTTCCTGTGTATTATTTCTTTGATGTGCCTAACCCAGCTGATGGTACATGTACCGAGGAGTCGGTTACGCCTGTTTGATCCCCTAGTTACCTCTTGATGTACTTCATGTCTTGTTAAATATAACGTGCAAACAAGACATCAAAAACCAAGGAACCCCATGCGATTATATTTTATCTATTTGACCCTTGGAATTCTTATATACCGAGCGTGTAAGTGGCCTAATTTAAGACCAGTTTACAAATTCAAAGAATACTGATGGTATTTTAGAAATATCCTTGTTTTGAAATTCTGCATGGCATTGATATTTGGCGGAGTTTGATATACAATATAGCCGATCAAAAAATATTACACACTAGCCGAATAAAAAATATATTATGTATATTATGTGCCAAATTGCACGATATTTTCAATAAAATGCGAAGGAACATGCCAAAAAAAAAGTCATTGAATATGTCAGCGGAGTTCTGTTGCACCCGAACCCCATCCTATCCCCATGTTATCGTTCCATCTGTATTTTTCAGATTATCGTTAAAGTAAACAGTAATCAGTTGCTATCTCTTGCCCAGATATTTAAAATTGACTTCAGCTAGACACAATTCCTGCTATGACACTCTAAAGGTTCCCTCTCCCATGCTCAAGGGGGGGGGGGGGGGTGAGGTTGCCTCAGTTTTCGGCCTTACATGCTCACGGTACCCATAAAGAGACCCAAGCCTTTATCGTCCTAGTGCCTGAACGGACACGAAAGCACTTTGCATTGGATTTACATAGTCCAAGGTGTGCCACAGAGATTGTCAGGACAAGGATATTCAGAGGTATTTATGCGCAGCAAGGTTGAAATGCACAGCGTCATGAGGTCTTACCAGCAGTAAGGGTACCTCACGTTTCATCCTTTCGGATAGATAGGCTGGTGCGCACAACCCAAAACAACATCAAAATGTATTTTCTATTAAAAGGTCAGTTACGTAATACGGGGTACTGGCTGTATTTGGGAAATATATATTATATATAGTATTTTTAATAGATTTAAATGTGCATTAAAATCTATCAAAGAGTTGGCCCGGTTTTCTATTTGTGTTTTGGGGTCAACGTCTTATAGGTTTTTGTAGGGGTTATCCACGCCACCTGTCATCATGATAGGGTATTAGTCCCAAGCCTATCTGGCCATGTCAATACTGCTATCTCATTCATGTCAAAATGTTAACCGACTGGTAGGATAGACCATTACAGGTTTCTTGCGAGAGTAGTGGGCTCCACCATTCTGAGCTATTTTGAGGGTAAAGTATGCATGCATATGTTTAAATTTCATAAGCAAATACTATAAAAAGCCTTACGAAAAGTTACAAAAAAGAATAATTGCAAGGCTTGATAGAATCGTTGTTTTTTACTTTTCTGTAATGGATATATGTAGCTTTGCAGAGGAGCGCAGCATTTAAAGCTATGCCACCCTTCGGAATATTCAGGTGTGCTCGTAGGTACCAGTAGGAACATCAACATGTACCTACTTGAGAAAAGGGTGCCAAAGATTGGTGTTTTTTTTTTTTTTTAACAAAAACGGTCCGGTATTGGTAAATTGTCTGATTTCAAAAAAGAAAAAAATAAGAATGAATAAATAGTATGAACAAAAAAATTAAATACTATTGGTTATCTACTTATATTTGCATAGTGGCAAAATAATTCTGAATCTTCATATATTGCAAATGCACATTGATGTTGGCATTCTGCCCCTTTTGCACGCGTTCCGAAGCACATGTTAGATAGATAATTATATCCAGACCTCTGTACCTGTCAGGCCGACCGGTACTCGGCGACCTTGTCTCTGGTTATGTCAATCATATCGATAGAACATACATCAGTTGTCAAGGCATGACAACTGTTGAAAGTATTTGGAGATTACTGAGCCTTTTTCGAAATAACCCTATGCGCCAATTATGAAAAGGCTGCAGTGGAAAAAATAGTATTAATCAAAAGCGACTCCAGCCTTTTAGTGCTATAGATGATGTCTGAAACTACTGATATCACTCATAAGTGTTCTGTACGGTCAATTTATACAGACAGAGACAATAGACGGAACTTAACTCATAAGCCAAAAAGGTACCTTATGAAACATCCAACATACACCTGAGGAGCTTTATTGTGGGTCAAAAGTCATGGATTTTGTTTCAAAAATGGAACTTAAAAAAGAGCTGGTATGCTGAATCAAAAGCCCAATTAGTCTCCGGCGCGGGTGAAGAATTTCTGATCCATTTTCTTTTTCTGAGGCACGTTCTATAAATCTTTATTTTATGTACAGTTTCTTTCAGGTTGAACTGCCAGAATTCTGGCCTTGGTTCTTGAGGTATAATGCGATTCGAAGACATCATTCCCCATCTCGGGGAGTTTGGGAAATTTCAAAAATTACAACTTGTCCTGCTCTCGTTGCCCGTTTGGGTGACGGGAATGCATGCGCTGGCAATGACCTTCATAGCTGCTAATCAAGAGTTCAGGTAACCTAAAACATTTTTCGAGGAAATAAGATTCAACGTTAATTTGATAAACGTGTAATACTTGCACATTTATAAACTAATGGAATCGGTTGTCAAAACTGAGTCAAGTAGGCCTACTTGATGAAGTGCGATAAGGGCGTGTATCCTAGCAGTGTCCATAAGTGCATTGCAGACCAGTGTTGACGGCGATATTAGGTTCATTTTGTCACAACTCACGCTGGTAGTAACGTTACTTGTGGGTTATGCATACGGTTGATTTTATCCAAATCTCACTTCAACTTTGCTGATTATACCAGTAATATGTCTTTATCAATGTTAGATTTATTACTCTCTGTTTTATATAGTGGTACTGTGACACTGTTGGATAATCTATTATTAGCCTTGGCTTTTGTTCTGCAACCCAAGAGTTGCGTGAATAGCTTAACCTTTTAAAAATACGTCGTTAGTATTCCAAAGGTCATCATCTGAGATAGCTTAGAAGAGGCTGACTGCAGTGCATGACGTTAGACAAGACTACAAAACGTGCTTGTATCCGGGTGAAGTGGTGTAAACTTTGAAGCGGTAAAGATAAAACTATGCGCCAGGAAAGTCGTTTTAGAAAATAACACAAAAGTGTTGTACAAAACATGGTAAATTTTTATTGTTGTGCTATAGACTGCAATAACCAGAACAATATCCGCTGAGGTATTCTCCTGGCTTTTAATCGCACCGCATTTGATAGTAAATTATTATTTCTGACCCTGCTTTCTACTCCCGCAAAATTTCTCTTCTTGTAAAGCCAATTCGCGAGACTCTGGTCTATCTCGGATGATGAACATTAAATTGAATATTGTGGTTTTTGTATAACGGAAAGTGCATCCAGCTTTGGCCTTTTGTTTTAGGCCAACAGTTTATTTCAATAAACAACTAGGATATTTATCTTGAACTGAAGTGGATCTTATTTTTGGCCTTTTAAAGTTTAGACCCATTTTCGGCTTAAGCTCTTTTATGATAAAATAAAGGCCCCTGCTGATAATGATATACATCAGTATTGTTGATATTTAGGTGTTTTGTGCCTGGTTGGGATGACAACCCATTAAGGGGAAATGAAACTTTAAACTACTCCTTGATATTTCCTACTGGTGAAGATGGGCAGTATGACCGCTGTAATATGTATGCTGTCAACGTGACCAGAGGGGTGTGGTATACAATACCAGACAATACCACTGCCACAGTGCAGTGTAACCAATGGGTCTATGACACGTCACGGTACAAGACATCCGTCGTTTCACAGGTGAGTCTTTCGCTAATTATCAAAATTCTACTTCTTTTGAAAATCAGCATTTATTGCAACGTGAAAATCGAAATAAACCGACTCTTCCAAAATCTGAATCTGAATATCATCCGGTTGAGACATTGCTTTCGGCAGGTCTCATTTGCTTTTTCGTATATCACCATCGGAAGGTCGATTTTACATTTCGAACAATTTAAACAGCTCTCTTATGAATGATTTGAAAATTGTTAAAACCAAAGACGCAAAATGACAAATCTTCGCATCCTCGCTACGGTTAATGCACTTATTTTCAGTTTAACCTGGTGTGCAACCGCAAGTACATGAGTAACGTGGCCCAGTCTCTGTATATGGCGGGTATGCTTGTGGGTGCTATAGTGTTCGGTAATTTGTCAGACAAGTAAGGAGAGTTCACTTCAACTAATCGTTAACGTACAAAGAATCAATTCCATATTTTTGTGCTAAACATGCATAGTAAGAGAAATCAAATCTGGTTTCTGGTTATTTATACAACCTTAAGCACAGTAGGCCTATCGAGATAAAACTTATGTTCTCTTGAGTTTGAGTTCACATATGTTTCTAATTCTTGTTGTTGTTGTTTGTTGCCTTCCAGCAGGGATTTATATATACTCTTCATCGTTGTATTTTCCAAATTACAAATATACTTCAAATTTGTTTTCAAATGATGTAACCCAAGAGTTGTGTGAATAGCTTTACCTTTTTTAAAAACTTATCAATCAATCAATTTTCAGATTTGGCAGAAAACGTTTAATGTTCATCAGTCAGATTATTCAAGTAGTGAGCGGATGTCTACTGGCAGCTGCACCAGAGTACGTTACTTTCACCATCCTGCGCTTCATACTTGGTGCCGCACACTCGGGGGTCTTCTTGCCTGCTTTTGTTATCGGTGAGCATTTGTCGGTTTTCAAGTTTTGTTACAGCTTATGTTCGTGACTTTATAGGTAGTAAGAAAAAGTGAAAGAATCGATATACAGTAGTAAAAAAAGTAGTATTTAACATTTAGTTATATGTATACCCACTTTCATTTTCTATAACTACCTAACCAGTTATGGGTTTTTGTATATTATTCAGTTATGGAGTTCATTGGAGCAAAAAGCGGTCGGACAATCACTGGAATATCCTTCAATGCCTTCTTTGCCGTGGGTTTTTGCACTCTTTCCTTTGCAGCATATTTCATTCGCTATTGGACTTGGTTACAACTTGCAATTTCGTTGCCAAGCATTTTCTTCCTGATTTATTTTTGGTAAGTTGAAGCTTGGAATGATAGATAAAAACGGTTATATTTAATAAAGCATTTACATACATTCGTCTTGAGGATATTTCCCCTGATAACAATTATTTAAACGTAAAGAGAGAATTTTAGATAAAGCAAGTTAAAAACAAACTTGGTATTCTACAAATTAATTAGACTTATTTAAGACTAATATTATAATAATAATCTTCATTTCTTATACAGTGCATTCCGTTATAATAAATTGCAATGCACTTTACAGTTATATTATATTAAAATGTCATAAGTTACAATACTATAAAATGACAGAGCTTAGTTTGAAAGCTTAAAGAAAGGCAGTTTGTTCCATAATAACTGACATAATGCCCAGTACAAAACCCTTAACTGTGATTGGATTTGTCCACGAATCTCAACATGGCGATATATCACTTTGATAATGGAATGTGGGATTTGTGAGGTTGATATTAGTAATTTGGAGAGTGGGGGGGAATAGCCAAAATGCCAGAGCTATTTCCAATTTACTGAGTGTTTCTCGCCAATCTTATCTTGCAATTTATGTATCGGGCATTAAACATGTGTATCTATAGACATCTGCGATTTTTTACGTAGATTTTATGGAGTGAAAATTATAATGCTCAATCTATTACATGTTCAGACTGACGTTTTGAATGTAGAAATATTGCTCTTTGAATTTGATATATCTGTAGGGACAAGGTCATTCCTGGCTCGGCAAGATGGTTTTTGCAAAATAAGAAGGAAGAACGTTCAAAGAGCATCATCAAAAAGGCGGCAAAAATGAACGGAAACCCAATCCCACAGAAAATAATAGACGAGGTAAACTTTAAATTGTCACTTTTGAAAATGCCAGGGATAAGATTGAAGGCAGATTGCTCGCAATAACACATTGGCCTATACATGTATACATACTTGTGTCAGCTTAAGCCAATAACCTATTAAATTTCAGATCTGCATGTTACCCAAAACATTGACCTTTCTACGTCATTGCCAAATTCAGAACAGCGGACTAACTTGCCCACGGGTCAAATATGGCCGACCCACTTGAATACTTCGCCACGGGAAATCTATTCAGTGTCTAACAGATTAGACGGCAAGCTTTTTAGTCGGTCGCCATATTTGGCCCGCAGGCTAGTTAGTCCGCTGTTCTGAATGCTGCCTTAGTTATTAATGTTAAATTCGACGAAGAAGTGTTTCGCAAAGGTTTTACGTATTATCTTTTCAGCTAAAACCTGACGTTAAGCACAAGTCACACGTATTTAAAATGATGAATTATCCACGGATGAGGAATAGAGGTTTCATAATATATTATAATTGGTATGTAAACTTATAAAAAGTAACACTTTGATATTTAATATTGTTAATTCGGTAGTCTTTATACATTATTTAAACTATAGTATGTCATTTCATTGACTGCAAAATTAGAACTTTCAAAATTATTAGTAGTTGAATTGTATTAAAATCAGTTTGCCACGTGTTCAAATGTGCATTTGTTACCGATTTAATCCTAGAGTAAAGCCTAGTTTTTCTACATGTAAATCTTACAGGTTCACCGTGAGTCTTGTATTCTATGGTCTATCCCTAAGCACTTCAGAACTTCCAGGAGACAACGATTTCTTGAANAAAGTGAAAGAATCGATATACAGTAGTAAAAAAAGTAGTATTTAACATTTAGTTATATGTATACCCACTTTCATTTTCTATAACTACCTAACCAGTTATGGGTTTTTGTATATTATTCAGTTATGGAGTTCATTGGAGCAAAAAGCGGTCGGACAATCACTGGAATATCCTTCAATGCCTTCTTTGCCGTGGGTTTTTGCACTCTTTCCTTTGCAGCATATTTCATTCGCTATTGGACTTGGTTACAACTTGCAATTTCGTTGCCAAGCATTTTCTTCCTGATTTATTTTTGGTAAGTTGAAGCTTGGAATGATAGATAAAAACGGTTATATTTAATAAAGCATTTACATACATTCGTCTTGAGGATATTTCCCCTGATAACAATTATTTAAACGTAAAGAGAGAATTTTAGATAAAGCAAGTTAAAAACAAACTTGGTATTCTACAAATTAATTAGACTTATTTAAGACTAATATTATAATAATAATCTTCATTTCTTATACAGTGCATTCCGTTATAATAAATTGCAATGCACTTTACAGTTATATTATATTAAAATGTCATAAGTTACAATACTATAAAATGACAGAGCTTAGTTTGAAAGCTTAAAGAAAGGCAGTTTGTTCCATAATAACTGACATAATGCCCAGTACAAAACCCTTAACTGTGATTGGATTTGTCCACGAATCTCAACATGGCGATATATCACTTTGATAATGGAATGTGGGATTTGTGAGGTTGATATTAGTAATTTGGAGAGTGGGGGGGAATAGCCAAAATGCCAGAGCTATTTCCAATTTACTGAGTGTTTCTCGCCAATCTTATCTTGCAATTTATGTATCGGGCATTAAACATGTGTATCTATAGACATCTGCGATTTTTTACGTAGATTTTATGGAGTGAAAATTATAATGCTCAATCTATTACATGTTCAGACTGACGTTTTGAATGTAGAAATATTGCTCTTTGAATTTGATATATCTGTAGGGACAAGGTCATTCCTGGCTCGGCAAGATGGTTTTTGCAAAATAAGAAGGAAGAACGTTCAAAGAGCATCATCAAAAAGGCGGCAAAAATGAACGGAAACCCAATCCCACAGAAAATAATAGACGAGGTAAACTTTAAATTGTCACTTTTGAAAATGCCAGGGATAAGATTGAAGGCAGATTGCTCGCAATAACACATTGGCCTATACATGTATACATACTTGTGTCAGCTTAAGCCAATAACCTATTAAATTTCAGATCTGCATGTTACCCAAAACATTGACCTTTCTACGTCATTGCCAAATTCAGAACAGCGGACTAACTTGCCCACGGGTCAAATATGGCCGACCCACTTGAATACTTCGCCACGGGAAATCTATTCAGTGTCTAACAGATTAGACGGCAAGCTTTTTAGTCGGTCGCCATATTTGGCCCGCAGGCTAGTTAGTCCGCTGTTCTGAATGCTGCCTTAGTTATTAATGTTAAATTCGACGAAGAAGTGTTTCGCAAAGGTTTTACGTATTATCTTTTCAGCTAAAACCTGACGTTAAGCACAAGTCACACGTATTTAAAATGATGAATTATCCACGGATGAGGAATAGAGGTTTCATAATATATTATAATTGGTATGTAAACTTATAAAAAGTAACACTTTGATATTTAATATTGTTAATTCGGTAGTCTTTATACATTATTTAAACTATAGTATGTCATTTCATTGACTGCAAAATTAGAACTTTCAAAATTATTAGTAGTTGAATTGTATTAAAATCAGTTTGCTACGTGTTCAAATGTGCATTTGTTACCGATTTAATCCTAGAGTAAAGCCTAGTTTTTCTACATGTAAATCTTACAGGTTCACCGTGAGTCTTGTATTCTATGGTCTATCCCTAAGCACTTCAGAACTTCCAGGAGACAACGATTTCTTGAATCTGTCTCTGTCTGGATTGGTAGAATTTCCTGGATTTCTTTTCTGCATTCTATTGATGGACCGGTTAGGACGGCGTGCTTGCCTATGCATGAGCATGATCTTCTGCGGGGTGCCTTGTATAGTGGCTGCCGTTATACCCAAGGAAGCAGGTAAAGTGCATCAGCTATTACGTTATATGTGAATTACACTGAATTTTATAAAAATAATTTTTCCTTTAAATGATGGAAAATATGCATTATCTTTAACTTTAAAATGACGTGGTGTTTGCGTTTTATATAAAATACCTACAGCTGCACACATGCACACACGAGGCGTCTGTTTATCACCACATTACATCATTCATTCACCTATCTGTCGCTCTATCTATCTATCAATTACCGTGATTCAATTCACTGTTTACCTGTATTTAAACTGATCTTAAATAACTTTTTAACCAACCCTCATATTTTTGTTGTAAATTTTATGCTTATCGTAATATATATATATGGCCTGTTTGATAAATCTAATGAGCATTTTCACAAACTCGATGGACTTATTTTTATTATTTCTAGGTTTAGATTGGTTAGTCATTACGCTGTCCATGATTGGTAAAGCCTTCTCTGGCGCATCCTTCGTCCTTGTGTACAACTACTCCGCTGAGGCATTCCCGACTGTGATAAGGAATGGAGTGGTTGGAGTTAGTTCCATGTTTGCCCGTGTCGGAGGAATTCTTGCTCCTCTAGTCAATTTATTGGTATGAGTGTGTGAAAAGTTTTGTATAGATGTAAGTAAAACGTTTATAAGTTATTATTTAATCATCTTTAGACTACATGTGTTACTTCAATAACTACCGTGGCACAAAGATGATTCTGTATTTCAGGGTTCGTACACCTCCAAGCAAGTCCCGCCAATCGTTTTTGGGGTCTGCGCCTTAGTTGCCGGCCTTTTGGCCTTGTTGCTTCCAGAAACACTTGGCGTGCCAATGCCGGAAACCCTAGCACAAGGTGAAGCTTTTGGCACACCCGAATATTACAGGTATTATAGCATCACATCTGCAAAAGAATATTTGGTTTGGTTTATTATTGTTTATCATGATGGTTCTTAGATTTGGTGTTGACAACGATACCCTCATAGTTTAGTAAGTTTTATTGAGCTTAGATTGTAAATAATACTTTTAAAAACTTCAAATAAATAAACACAAATTTGTCACAAGTCAAAAACGTTCGTGTTGCAGATTTGAATGGGAAGATCAACTCTTTTAAACATTTGTCACTTTTTTCAAGCGTTTCCGGCGAAAAAGGTAACGGCTCAGCAAAGCAGCTGGAGAATGACAAGTAAGTTGTTCCTACTAATTATGACGATTTAACTTGTACAAACCCCGTCAGTGCTATAAACACACATACACACTCTCGCACGCACGCACAATGTGTCCCTGTTACTTGGACGAGTTCATTTTCTGTATGCATTAAAAAACAACATTCATTATTCACTTTAAGTTATCAGTAGCTATATTATATTTTCCTTCCAATATAATATAATATAATATAATATAAAATAATATTATATATTTTCCTTCCAATATTGCGTCCACACCTACATCAAGGACGCATGAAACCATATCTGATGTGTCCTACATGTAGGTTAAACATGTTCCCGTAACTGCATGATATATAACTATTACGATTGCCATAACCTTAGGGGGGAGGGAATACAAGCACTTCACGCACTGTCACCTTGTCTAATATCTCTGTAACGTTGCTATGCTAGGGACAAGATGGGGGAGACCAATGGATACGAAAGCGTAGCGCTGAAGGAAAGCGAAGATCATGACTCCCCGTCCTCTGATGATGATCAAGCGCACGACAACGTATGATGGGTCTTTGAAACATGGCCGACATTTGTTGGATAGTCTAAGGTTTAATTTCAACATTTCTTTTCACTTGTATTTTAAGCAGTAGAGTTATATCTTTAAAATATATTAACACATCACTTTACATTCAGTGTGCAAATTTACTTTTAGCTCAACTAGTAAACAAAATTTATTTTTGTCATAAAGCATAATGGTGCCTTTTATATGTATACTAAGATTATTTGCATTTGTTTCATACTAGTTGTAAACTAAATAGTTGCATTCTGCGGTTATTTAATTTTTAGTTCATATTGGACCAGAGTATATCTTTTACCTTTTCATTCAATAAATCAATAAATTAAAAAATAAATGTTTCTAGTTTGAATTCTTCTTATGAAGAGCATTTTTGAAGAAAGTTGAATAACTTTCAGTAAAAGCTACACATTTTCCATATAAGTGATATGATATATACATACTCTAATGATGGGACCATTTTTGGCAAAAAGTATCCTGAACTTGAAATTCCTATAAACGATCTTGCCAAAAGGCGGTTTCATATGTAGGCCTAAGCAGATAGTGTTCAAGCAGTCCGCACTGGACCGTGAGGGTCAGGGAAGAGAATTCTGACCAATGCGTCTTTATGCACAGGTTAATCGGATGTTAAGGGGATCTTAGCGTTACAAAGTATTGTTATTGCTATTATTTTTATTTTTCTTTCCATACCAGTCAATCGAAACTAAACTAAACTTAAATATCGTCCTTCTTTTCTATGTAATGTTAATACATTTACCTTGTGCCCGTCCATTTTAAAACATGAGCAGAAGTGATATTGATCTAATTTTAGCATATATGTTAACATATAACAATGTTATAAGAAAATTTTTTAATTTCCTGTAAGCGAGTTTGTTGTTTACCGTACGCTTTGTAAATAAAATTCTCATCAGAAATCAAACAAACCATGTTTATTTATATATTTCGAATATAAGTCATTGCCCTCAGATTGATATGTTGTTATGCAACAGTGGTTTGACGGAATAAAGGCACGAATATGTGTATGCAGAAAATTGCAAGATAATCTGGAGTTGGTCTTCCTCGAGGGACGGCCCGAGACTGATTGGAAAAATATCGCTGTTAAGGACTTCTGGTCCTTCAACGTTTTTTTTATTTTGCAAACCAGAAACGCTTTCCAATTAGCTCCGAGAAATTGACCACTGAATTGCAAACCGTATCAATTTTGAAAATACTGAGTAACGACTACCAGCCTCTCTAACTCTCCATGTTAATCCATCCCACCTGTTCATTGTGCTGACCACTTCACTCAGAGACAATATATAGATTATGAAAACGATTCTTATATATGCAGCACTATTAATATTCCGAACAAGGTGTGTTTATTTTTGTTCGATCTTTAATCTGCTGTTTGTGAAATTGCGTTTTAAATATGTAAGGCGAAGTTAACAATGGGTATGAAGTGAAAAACCCGTTCAAAATTTCTTTCATGAGTATTTGGGCAAATGTTCCTTCATTGAGTAATGAAATTATCAACGTTAAATGACGTCTAGTATAGGGGGGATTTGTTGTTGTGTTGGCGATATCCCACGGGAGCAAACTGTTGAGACAGAAAAATGCTTTTAAATTCATTGTTTAAATAAATTTGATATGGAAAACGGTTATAACGTGCAATGCCACTTTACCAGTCACTTAAAATGGACAAACGCGCTAGATAAAACTACGTATATACATGCATCTGTATCAATATACGAAGTGGACATTCCGAAGTTGAATAAACAGACCTGTATTCGCTTCCATGTGAATTAGCAGGAATGGGTATAGATACCTTTGAAAACAGGCGGGCAATCTGTTATCTTATCAGTTATAAGTCCGGAAAATTTAGATAAACAGAACAATGCAGATATGTGGTTTGATCGGAGCAGTCAACCCTATTAGAGATTTTGCAGCAGACTAAGTTAAGTTAAGTTTACTTAAGTTATCGGCTTCTGATTGCCACGCATAAAAAACTGCAACGAAGATGAAGTTTGAAGAAATTATTCCACATTTGGGAGAATTTGGTAAATACCAGAAAACGCAACTGTTCTTGCTCTCGTTGCCGGTTTGGGTCACAGGAATGCACGCATTGGCGATGACTTTCATAGCGGCTTCACAGGACTTTAGGTAAGCACACAAACCTACCGGAAACCTACAATAATAGTATTAGGGATTCACAACTCACAACGTCAAAAATCTCACGGAAATAATTAAGATATGTCACCCTAGGTGTTGAGAGTTGTACATATATAGAAGCTTGGGTTCTTTCATGCACTGAGTCAACAGTGGGAACTTTAACGATATAAACATACCAGTTGATGAACAGACGAGTACAGAAAATGAATCAGATGTGATGATGTGGGTTTTTCTGGGTGGTGTTGTGGGTTTTTTGGATGGTTGTAGCTCCTATTCTTCTTGATAGAAAAAACTCTTTAACACTTCAGGTCTGCCCGAACGGCGTTTGTTTGATAAGATTCGTGTGGATAAAGGTAACCGGAATTAATAACGCTCGTTAAAATTCATTCCAAAGATTGTAGAAGTCGTCCACTGGCAGAAAACGACGAGATGTCTATTCTAAGGAAGTCTTATTCGATGTCCATTGGAACAAAAATTGGTTCCATCATATTTGCCTCCATATGGATGGTAACTATTGGACGTATTTTTACTTTTCAAAACTGCAGGTGCTTTATCCCAGGTTGGGATGATTATTCCAACAAAACTGGTCCCCTCAACTACTCCTTGATATTTCCTACTGATGAAGATGGGCAGTATGACCGCTGTAATATGTATGCTGTCAACGTGACCAGAGGGGTGTGGTATACGATACCAGACAATACAACTGCCACAGTGCAGTGTAACCAATGGGTCTATGACACGTCACAGTACAAGACGTCTGTTTTCTCTCAGGTAAATTATCATACTTAGCCCTGGTTTGGTTCGGCTTCTTCAACATGCAATCAACAGGCAACCAGATTATCCAATAAGTAATCAGAACACCCAGCAGTGGACCAATGAAAACGTTTAATAAAAAACGCATGCAAAACAACGGACTAACAATATCGCATATGGCCGACCACTTGAATGCTTGTTGCGTAATCCCCCCGGGAAATCTATTCAATGTCTAATCGGGAATTAAGCTTTTAATCGGGTCGCCATATCTGATCCGCGGATCAGTTGGTCCGCTTTTCTGTATGCGCTCAAAGACAAGCATCCAATTCCACGGCAGTCCAGCAATCTGGTGCAGCTGGCAGCTCTTTGAGTGCTCTGAACTTTTGAACAGGATATTTTCTTGTATGTTTGATCAGTAATAATAGTAATAGTATCAGTAATAGACAGACAGACAGTCAATTGGTCTCAGTCTGAAAACAGTTCAGTGCATAAAATGAGTTAATGAACGGCTGCTCTGGTCTGCTGTTACACATGTGTGCACAGGATATAAAGACACTTTGCTGCATATTTGTTGTTTAAATATCTTATATACAGTATTTAAAACATTTTTTGTTTTGTTTAATAATACCAATGCAAATTCGATTTCTACATTTGTCCTGTTATACCCAACCATGTTATTTCTATGTCTCCAGCTCAGCTGATGTCATTTTTAAATGTCATTTAAATAATATTAAATATCCCTGTTGTTCAATCTGAGAAAAAGTACAGCGAATGTAGTAGACAGTAATACCCCCGTCCCACTAGAGGCAGAATGAACAAGAATGTCGTCAGAAAGACAATTCTTTGTGCATTCCTGGATATCCAAAGAGCATTCTAAAAATTCCGAGTGCATTTCAAATAGTTTAACCCATTCTTGTGGTCGGCCTGAATGTTAAAAACTTTCGAAGTGCATTCCAAGTGGAAAATTATTGAATGGCATTTGAATAGTATTCTAACTACACTATGACTGCATTTTAAATATTCTAACGGCATTCTGGCAACATTCGAAACATTCTGATCACATTCGAGGGATATTCGAACTGACACATGACTTAAGACCCCCGTCACACTTATTCGGAACCAGCAGGAATCAAGCTGAACCAGCCAGAATGAATTAATTGAAAAATTCGTGCCATAATCGGGAAAGAATTTCACATTGCAGTCAGAACATTCCAAATGAAATTCAAATGCCGTACGAGTGTGGTTTGACTGCTGGCCGAATACAGGCTGAAGTATGTAAGAAGGTGCCTCGAATGATATATGAAGCGAACTCAAATGCAGTCAACTGCTCCCGTTATGGCTGCCATGATGGTTTGAAATATAAAATAATGCAGCTGAATACCTAAAATACTTAATTAAAAATTACTTTGTAACATGTTTAGAATGTAACACGATGCCCAGAGTATAAATAACGCCACTGGAATGATAACTGATCATAATGTTTCGAATGCTGTCGGAATGCCGTGAGAATATTTAGAATGCAGTGATAGTGCAGTTAGAATACTGTTCAAATGCCATTCGATAATTTTCCACTTGAAATGCACTTCGAAAGTTTTTGACATGACAAAAACATTCAAGCCGGCCACAAGAATGGGTAAAAATATTTGGAATGCACTCGGAATTTTTAGAATGCTCTTCGAATAACCTGGAATGCACAAAGAATTGTATTTTCGACACCATTCTTAATCATTCCGCCTCTAGTGTGACGGGGGTATAAAATCCCGCCAGAATGTTTCGAATGTGCCTCTGATGAGGTGAAATATTAATTTTGCCAGCAATCGAACTACACTAGTACGCCATTCAAAGTATATTCTAAATATTCTTACTGCCTTCTTACAGCATTATAGATATTCCTAGTTTTCCAACTACATTCTAACTGCATTTGAGAGCTAAAACAGCCGAAAGTGCACTCATCATTCCAGGCGAATTCAAGCGCATTCTGAGTATTCCAACGGTACTCTTACAATGATTAAGGTCAATTTAAATTTTTTTCCCGAATGTGGTGCGAATTTTTTTAATTCTTCATTCAGTCTCACTTAATTGGAATCAGCTCATTCTTCTTGATTCCTGCTGATTCCAATTAAGTGTGACGGGGGTTTAAGGGGATTTTTTTTTCAATTCTTAGTTCAACATGGTTTGTGATCGCAAGTACCTGAACAACTTGGCCCAGTCCATGTACATGGCGGGAATGTTGGTTGGAGCCATTGTTATCGGTGATTTGTCCGACAGGTAAGTGTGAACCTACGCGTATAGTTTGAGATGCCATGTCCTCTGAAAGACATCTCGGCCTAATCTTGGTCGAATTAAATTATTCTACGCTTTTACAAAATGCATACGATTAGAAATTATGAGTTTAAATCCATTGCGTTTTATATTTTCAGGTTTGGCAGGAAGCGTTTAATGTTCATAAGTCAGGTTTTTCAAGTGCTTTGCGGCGTTGCGCTGGCGTTCGCTCCAGAGTACATCACTTTCACCACTCTACGTTTTCTTCTTGGGGCTGCACATTCCGGAGTCTTCCTGCCAGGATTTGTGATCGGTGAGAGCATCATATTTATAACATGTATTTGGATCCGTCGTGGAATATAGCATTATGAGAACGTAGGTAACATGTCAATGGTACAAAAATCGCTGTAAGACTGTTGACTCTTGTCGTTAAATAAAGAAGAATTTAAATCGATTCAAACAAATAAATGTTAACTGTAAATTTACTATATATTTCTGAAAAGCTTTTGTATGTTTTCTGTCTAGCGCAAGTACAACTTCTGTAGCACGTAAACGTGGTCTTATTGAGAAATTCAATTAATATCTTACAGCTATGGAGTTGATTGGAGCAAAACAAGGACGGGCTATCACTGGGATTTCATTCAATGCCTTTTTTGCTGTGGGGTTTTGCACTTTATCGTTAGCAGCATATTTCGTTCAGTATTGGTTTTGGCTTCAACTGATCATAACTGCTCCAAGTGTTTTCTTTTTGATTTATTGTTGGTAAGTGTTACTTGCACAAATGATTTTTAAAACATTGATCATTATGTGCTCAAAACTGGCGGAAGCAGAGTTTTGGCCATTATGTTTTGGTATTATGATCAAAAATTCATGCTAAAGTCCCTCTTTAACGGTGCAATATACTTTATTTCTTGCCACAATTTTAAAATTCCGTGACAAAGTTGGCAAATGACAACTTAATGACGTCACAAAACATTTTGTTTTTCCCTACTAGGGACAGAATAATTCCAGGATCTGCAAGATGGTTTATGCAAAACTCTCAAGTAGAGCGTTCAAAGAAAATCATACAAAAGGCGGCAAAAATGAACGGCATGCCTGATATACAAAAGCTGATAGATCAGGTATTGCAACCAGTAGCAGCCTAAAAAGACCTATAGGTATAATTGTCAAAAAAAAAAAAAAAAAAAACAAAAAAGAAAAAAAAAATCTTATCTCTCAATAATATCTTTAAATTTCATTTTATATGCTTCAAGTTTTCAAAGCATGTCAACTGATTCAAGACACAATCCTACGAGCTGTGATATTTCAATACATGTTGGAATGCGCGAGAACACACACCTTTTTTTAAAAAATCACATATCTGATGTCGAATTCTTATTTTAAATTTACATTCTTTTTTCAGTTAGAGCCTGACTCACATGAAAAATCGCATGTGTTCAAGATTATGAAATATCCTCGTATGAGAAATAGAGCTCTGATAATGTTCTTTAATTGGTAAGTAAGTTTGCAACTCGTCGGTTACATGTGTTTGTTTCTTCGCGTGAAAAAAAAATTAGCACGGGACAGGGTTTTATTTTCCTAAGAATGCAACGCGTCAATGAAAAATATTTTTCGGTGTATTCCTTATGAATTATAGTATAAATGACATATCATATCATTAAAAATCAAGTATTTAATTATTTACTTAGTTGACTACACTTTCTTAGGTTCACCACGAGCTTGGTGTTTTATGGCTTGTCCCTCGGCACGTCACAGCTTCCTGGTGGCAATGATTATTTGAACTTGTCGTTGTCTGGGTTGGTGGAATTCCCTGGATTTCTGTTTTGCATTCTGGTCATGGACCGGATAGGGCGGCGGCCATGCTTATGCATTAGCATGATATCCTGTGGGGTTGCTTGTATTGGAGCTGCCGTCATCCCTGATACAGCAGGTGAAGTTGGAATACCCTTGCACATCTTAATATTAAAAAATTAAAAATTGCTTTCGTTTAATCAGGAGAAGTCAGTTTTGGTCCACTGTGATTTCACAAATGTGAATGTTTGGCAAATAGTACAAAACATCTGAACTTGAAGACCAAAAGCCCCTTAACCTTAGTTTTAACGTACAATAAAATATTTTGAATTTTGCATTAAATCCAGGATTAGACTGGCTAAGCATAACGCTGTCCATGATTGGCAAAGCCTTCTCTGGTGCATGCTTTGTCCTTGTGTACAACTACTCCGCTGAGGCATTCCCTACCGTCGTACGAAACGGAGTGATCGGAGTCTGTTCCATGATCGCCAGGGTCGGGGGAATTCTTGCACCACTTGTTAATTTGACGGTAAGATTTAAAATAGGTTAAAAAATTTCTTTAAATATTTGAACACATTTAATACATATGTAAGTTGAAAACTTGTGTAGTAGTTGGTAGATCATTTTCGTTTGGGCAGATATGGTAAGATAACTCTTTGAAGAGAAGGTAGACTCGGTACCAATTATTTTACCTTCTTTTTTAAATGTTTCTCGCTTCGTCACACCTGTAGTCAGAAAGTTCAGAAGGGGGGGGGGGCTGCAAAAGTAGACTTTTTATCCCCTTTGTTGTCCCAACTTGAGAAATGGCATAGAAGCAGTCGCAAATGTTGATTCAAAGTGGATCCTGAACGGACAAACCGCCGGAACGCCCCTTGCTTACAGGCCTATCAGCTGTATGACTACCTCAGTGAAAATTTCGTGTATGAATGAAAAGGAGTTAAAGTCATGAAAGGAAGATATCCATAAAAATCACAATGAATATAGCACTTCCATAGACACTCTTTTGCCTACTTGAATATGTAAAGGCGTTATTATTTTTAAAATAAGAGCATTCTAGAAAGGTCCATAACCATGAGGCTTACATCTTATCTTAAATGAAAACGGTATACTGTGTTATATATTTCACAGGGATCATATACTTCCAAGGAGATTCCACCGATCGTTTTTGGTGTTACCTCCCTAGTTGCTGGTCTTCTGGCTCTTTTACTTCCTGAAACACTGGGCACACACATGCCAGAGACACTGGAGCACGGCGAGGCATTCGGAACTCCCAAATATAACGAGTAAGTATGCAGTTTGAAACTTTCTGTTGGTTCTCAATTACGATCATAACCAAATATGTTGTTAAATAGTCGGGTAGCTACAAGTTGCAAAAAAAAAAAAAAAAAAAAAAAAAAAAAAAAAAAAATCGCAGTACCTATTTTGTCATTGATACTTGGTCCAAGTAGAGAAGTGTTAAAATACTTGTTCACACATTACGTGTAACTTGTGTGTATTGTTACCCATAAATCAGTGTTATTTCTTTCTAGAACCCTCTATGCCTCTGCTTCAAAAACAGATAAGAATGACATTCAATATGATCGGTGAGTATATAGCCTTTTTCGACATGCATCGCATAGGCTACGTTTTCTCCCATTTTCGAACCTAAAGTTCGTCTTTCTGTAAACCTTTTAAGGAAAATTAAAGGTATACATAGTTGCAGCATTTCCCGCATATATATCCATTTGGAATGTTGATTTTTGTACAGGCCTCTACATGTACCTCATCGTTTTTACCTCCTAATTTGGCAATTTTATTTTAGGAGCAAAGAACAAAATACCAGTCAGAGCAGTAAGGTGGGGGCGATAAATGAAAGCTTTAATAACGATGATTACGGCAGCGAAGATGAAAGCCATTCACCGCGCTCAGGGAAGCTTCAAACAACGCACAGCTGGAAGTAGAGTATTTTTGCAAAATGAACAGCGGCTCCATGACTGCGCAAACGACGGTCTCATATTCTTTAAGAGATAATTTAAATATACTATAGGGTTGTGAAAAGCAAATAAGAAAGGGGATGAAGCTTTTGACAATAGCTCATTTCAAACGTACTTTGTTGTCCTTCATATACACCATCCATGATCCTTCTATTTTTCTATAACTGAAGTTTAAGAGGTTATTATTAAGTGTATAAATTGTGGCGAGACAGAATTGCGCGATCACCATAACAGATGGGAGGACAAAATATTTACTTTTGATCAGTGATAACTAATACCGTTTTATAATTCCACTGGTCAAATCTGCATGTGCCATGCAAACATAGATTCTGGGGTATTGCCCAAAATAAAGTCATGTCTGGTACTTAACAAGAAGGCTATACATTGACGCTTCTAAGTCATCATATCTCTCATTTGTATGGGTTGAACTTCAGATAATTATTTTTAGTGTTTGTTTTAAAAATAAGTTTCATTTTATTTGGCATTTATTATTAGAAGAAAATTGTGAGACATGCAATGTACATCATTTAGCAGGACACGTATCCCAGTAATCTAGCATTTTCAGTAGGCCTTACCATCACTGACTCAGTTTATTTTTATCATCCGTGCCCTTCATATTTGCCAGGGTAAGCTAAATTTCTGGACCTCCACATTTTCCAGATAACACGATGGACATCATTGTATTTACCTCAGCTGCCCATCCTCTAAAAGCAAATATTAACTCTCAAACATTGGTCATAAATGACAGTAGCCAGTCAGAGCCTTAGGTGAATCATGCTAATCCCTCCATCACAATAAAGAAATGGTAGGTCAGTACACTGCCTTTCATCATATCATTTATGTACTTTTACAAGGGGTGTATTTGGACAAATCTGATCATATTATCATAGCTGCAAAACCCTAATGTCCCAGAATTGCACTCATGAGAAATAAGATGATTTTGGCGTATATGTATAAGCAGAGATTCAAAAGTAGGACCCCAAATTTGCTCAGGAGTATGTTGCATCTTTATTATTACCTCCTGTTATTGGAAATGTTATGACACAATGATATCATTTGTGATATTTGGAAGCATGTTGCAACTCACATGATAGGTTAATCTTGGTCATTTATGCATGTGCTGCAACTGAAACTGTATATGAGGCACCTGAATGAAAATGTAAGTTGTCATTTTCTTGAGTCATTAATACATACTGGATACATATACTGTAACAATATATAACAATTTGAGTATAATAAAAAAAGTTCATTATGCATGCATATTATGCCTATACTTGGTCAGCTCATATCCTTTTGCAAGGCTGCAAAGAAGCAGTGTTGAAAACACTACAATGTAATCATCAAGCAGTAAGAATATAATTCAGCAAAACTACCAGATCAAATGAAATTAAATTTTTACACTAGCACTTACTTTTGAGTCTTTAAAAATTGACTCTAATATAAAGATAATTACTATTTAGATTCCAAAAAATACATTTCATAATTTGTGATGGATTGCATAATTGTAAATGACATTATTGCCTTTATGTTACTTTCTCTTCCTCTAAAATTTTGGCACTTCCATTGCATAACATGCATATCAGACTTTAAACCAAAAACTATAATGCACTAAATCTGTCTGTCCAGAAATCTCTGCTGCACTTTGAGTTCCCAGATAACAGGGTATGGATGTATCAGAAAGCTTCATTCTGACAAAACAATTTTACAGTCTGGTGTTCATTCTTTGCCACTTTTCCACCAATTTATTAATCACTCTAGGATTTTTCTTCAGCCATCGTGTAGCATACTTCATATATTTCTTTCCATGCGGAGTAAATTGTTTCAACTTCTTAAAAAACTTTGACCTTGTGCTTGGAAAATATTTCTTAAAGATGGTTCTCACTACCTGAACAGAATCACCTGAAAAGACAGTGCACTTAAGTTTATCTATCCAATAAAGATAGCATTCACCAAATGAATTCAACCATTTGAACAGAGAGAACATTCACTGAACAATGACAATAGTCAAGCATTACAAAATATGGAAGACCAGATGTGACTTCTTTTAACAAAATATAAAGGAGTTTAAGTCATGAAAGGAAGATACCCCTAAAAATCACAATGCACTACCATACATACTCTTTTGTAGATCAGGCATATAGGCCTACTGGAGTATTTAAAGACATTATTATTTTTCAATAAGAGCAATTTTCTTGCTCCCAACTTTCTTGCTCCCAATTTCCCCCTTTTTTAAACTAAACTAAAAGAATATGCTCACCCTGAGGCTGAACAGGGAAGGGGGTGGTGTCAAATGTAAATGGTTGCTCAACCTGAGAGAAAACATTCTTGTTGAATGCAGTTTGGTTAAACTTTTGCCCCTGAAATTAAAAAAAAATGTTGGAAATAAACTGCTGATGTGATCACAGTTGAAACTCAGATGCAAGTATTTGGAATAGTTACTGATCCCACTTGCTGTTGCCTCTTGCCTAGTGAAATGTGATCAAGGCAGCGAAGTAGGTGCAAGGAAGAAAAAAAACAAGTAAAAAACACACTATACTATGGATCTATACCAAATAACCATTACTTAAGTTGGAGAGAATTAACAGCTTTAAGGCTTTGATGGCGTGTCATAAAACTATCAGTGGTATCTTTAGAATACAGGCCTTTTTCACCCCTTCACCTGTTGAAGCAATACTGTGAGGTTTTAACTTTTCTTGTGCAAACACTTGTACACAAACTTAAAACTTTAAAATAATCAGAATGTTACAAGATGGTTCACATTTGTCTTAATGCTCACATTATTTAAGTCTGAAATAAAAATAATAATAAATGCCCTTCACATTTTTGAAGAGTACCTTTGACAATGCTTCCTTCAGCTGATTGATAAACAATAGCCAGCGTGGTAGGTAATATTTCCCAACCAGTCCTCCCCATTGCTTGGCAGCATAGTCTAGGATCTGTGAAAAAAATTTTGTTAAGATAAACATTTTATCATTCTTGATTGAAGATATCTAGGGCAAAAAGTATCTGACCACTGTAACAGTTGCAAAAATGATTTATTCAATTTGAGGTGTTAATTTTTTGTAATGCAAACTGCCTAAAAATTATTTTTTGAAAATCAAAATTCCATGCATTTTCCTACAGTAGTTTACTATCTGCCAACCAGCACATACTGTCTCAGTCCACCTTTTCTACAATATATTAAGGCTATTTAGTCAACAACTTTAAGTAAACATATAAAGACACCATTAAAGGCTCCATGTTGTGATAAAAAGATGCCAGCCATACCTCCCCATTAGGACCCCACAGTGTAACTTGATTCCTGGCATTGTATTCGTATAATTTCCTCTCAGCCTCAGACTCGGCCATGTTGTGAGCATCAGCTATCCAGGCACCCAATAAGAAGTGCTGATCACTGGACAGTAAGGTGTCCATGTCTGTCAGCAACTCTATGAACATCCCACTAGTTGTACTGGAAATAAAGAAAACAGTATATGTTTCATGCATAACACATAATATGGCAGGTGTTCACCAAAGACACTTTCTGGAATATATGAAACAAATGTACGTAATAATCAACCATAGGATGCATCTTAAAACTTGCATTTTTGTTGATGACCCTTTTTGAAAGTCTAATTTCTAAATAATCAAAATAATGGCAACCAATCCCAACACATATTAAAACTACCATTAGATATAACATTTGCTTCTAATGATTTTTCTGTTAGTAGCTCTTTTCCTACGTGGTTTCATAAAATCTTACTTTCTTAAATTATATTTCCATAGTACTATGAGAAAAATGTGCTTTCTCATATACATACTTAAATAAAGTTGCATTTTTGCTTTTATAAGCAGTAATCATGATGGTATAGTACTGCAGTCCCAGCAGCTGTAATACTTGTCTTGTCACATCTACCAAATCATATCTGAAAACAACAGGTTTTATCATCAAATATTCATACTTTATGCCAAACTGCATAACAAATCTAATCCAAAGCATATAACTATGACATGAACAAACAAAGGAAAAATTTGACATTTCTACAAAGACAGTTGTGATGTTTTAACATTATTGCTATTTCAGAAAAGAAAACCTACCTGAATAAATCACTACTCTTTAGTTTTGAACTGTCAGATACAAAATATTTCCATGCTGCAATCACAACTTTGGGATCATACCATACCTGCAATATTGCAAACAATCCCAAAACTGTCATTGTTTTTCTAAACAATGAAATCTGAAAATCTGTAAATTATTAGCTGAAATCTGTAAATTATTAGATGACAGTTTCCTACTTAACAAGGTTTGTTGTTTGTAGCTGCATAGCAAAAAAACGTTGATGCTAGCATAATTCTTTTTTAAAAACAAGTAATTGAATTTTTATCAAACCAAAGTTAAAAATAGGCAAATATATTTGATTAATTTTTTTTAGTTTCTGGCAATAATTCTTAATGACAGTATTAGTAACTATTGGATACATACAAATCAATGAAGATTTGCTTTAATCTATCTACTCATGGGTGAAAGTTGTAAAAACCGAAAATTCTGAAAACATAGCTTGCAATTTCTCATTGCATTTACGTAGACCAAAAGAAGAAAAAAAATAAAAACAATAAAATTGAAGACTGAAAATCCTGAAATCAGGCATAATCCTGAAAATTTTCACCCATGTGTACTACACTATAATATTTTTGCAAAAACCATGATTTTTCATGCAGCCTTTTGTGATATTAGCTGGAAAACACTATTTTTGCAATATTTTTCTCAAATTTTCTCTCAAAGAAGATGAAAATATTTTAGCCAGACTATTAATCTATTATCAATGCCATTGTAACCAAAGGATATATAGCATGTCAATGGAATATGAAGACAACTAATTTTAAAAATAAACAAACAATGAAAATAACATGGAAATGAAGATAACATGAACATCGTGTTAAGTCCTCTGCGCCAATTCTGTATGTGTAATATACAGGATACACAGCAGAGTCTACTTACATCAGGTTTTATAGGTGGACTCAGCCTTGGTCTCTGTGTGGGAATATTGTTGTTTGAAAAGTCATCATGTCTATCTGTGCAGTTGTATATACTATGCTAACATCAGTCAACATGCACAAAGAAAAAAAACATGCAATCAATCAATTGATGTCAAACATGCAATTCATTCTAAGTAACAGGAGATATCAATCGAGTTTGAAAAACCTCTGTCCCGGTGAACTTACATCAGCTTTAATTTTCAGTGCTGGCCTATGTACCACGACATAACGTCCATGATGCTTCAAATTGGTGGTACTATTGTACACACTGCGCTGGAGTTGATAGATTTTGAGATGAGAAAAGAGTAGGTAGCCTACACTTTATCCACAAAAAAGATTCAATTACACATTCACCATATATGTTTAATAAGAAATAATAATGGTGTAAAATTATCACCACATAACTGGTACATTTACAAATCTTTCTTTGTCTCTTTCATATTTCACTGAATGATTAAAAAAAAAAAAAAAAAAAAAATCTCAGAATGGGTGACCCTTTTTTTATGATCTAGAAAACTAATTAATGTTCACTATTTGCTTCATATCAATGTGAGATATCACATACTGTTCTAATATAACATTACAAATGTCCAGCCAGCAAAAACATATTAATATAAAATACATAATAAACAAGTACCATAAGATATATCCAGCCAGTCTGAACATTAAGGCTGCTTATACCATATCTCCTGTCAGCATAGTTCATAAACCTACCAACAACAACAATCTGCTTTAGTATTTTATGTTTTAGGCAGAAAAAAAAGAAAAACATATCAGTTTCAATTTCTAAAAGCACAAAAATTTTCAAACCAGAAAATGCTTCACAAGCCATTGCAAATTATCCATATAAACAAGAAAGTTCATATCATGTACATATAATATATATAGTCTTTACAATACATACACGTATGTGTTAATAACCAAATAAAAATGTATTATTAATCAATAAAAGTTCATTATACTTAAAATGACCCACTTCAAACTCACCATGTGATGGTGTTGACTGGTTTCTCTCTGGCTATGTTTTCATTCATAAATTCATAGATGACATCATTCTGATTGATGCCCTCTGGAGTCAAGCCAATCCCTATCATTGAACTATTAGGGTATGCCCTGGCTTTGAATGGTCCCTGGATAACCAACAGAGGAGGTTCATTTTCATTTATTGCACTTTAATAGCTGGTAATTAAGAAGTGTTTTTTGTCATTAATAAGCATTTCATGAGTATATATAATTTTAAACATTTCAAGTCTATCTTAAGCAAAAAAAAAAAAAAAAAAAAAAAAAAAAAAAAAAAAAAAAAAAACAGTTCAATCTGAATGACAAAGAAAAACTGCTTTAAAACATGTTATAATACCCTGTGTTGAATAGATAGAAATGTTAATTAGTACAGGAAAAGTTGCCATGCAAGGGAAAATATTTAAAATACACACAAACACAGGGACTACAAATCCATTTTTAGACTGAAGGTGTCTAACACATTTAATATACACATCGATAATGTAACAATGAATGATGCACTCCTTTGTCTCAGTGACAGTAATATCAAATATTCTTTAAAATACGTAACAGAATCTAATAGATGCTTTTATACATGCAATTGAAAGTAATACATATTATTATTATTATGTATCTGTACAAATATATGACTCAATGTACACTGAAAATAGACTAAAATACACCACTTGAGGTCACTAGACCATCAGAAATAACAGCAGACTACAAGAGGCAAGGGTAACAGTGGAAATGCTATGTACATGCACTCTTGTCAGTTATGCCAAAGAATATATATACTTTCTAGTACATCTATTATTGAACTTGACCAGTGTCTTTATTTTTAAACTACCTATGTTTTGGACAAATTTGACATGGATTTCTGTATCTGAATTCAGCCTTATTTTCCCTACTTTGTCATTATAATAATGGACACAATATTTGGAACTTTGAAGGTATACCTGGTTTATGTCTTCAATCTGCCCCTGCATATAATTGCCTCCCCCAAAGTCATGCAACATGCACCATATAAAAGGCTGGCCATAGAAAGACTCAAACCTTTCATATTGGGGATACAACTCGGCTCGAAGATCAAGAAGTATCATGCGACCCTAAAAATGCACGCAAAATTCATGCTCAAATCAAATTTTGAAATGAGCTAATGGGTAAATGTGAAGTACTAACTAGTATTATAACAATAAAAAGGGTTTAGTATTGGATACCTCAGTTTGAATATCATGCAGCACTGTAAAAGAAAAAAGATTTGCAGGTGAATGTTATAGTTTTGGAATCTACACATGCTCTGCAGTTAATGCTGAGGTGGTCCTGTCATAAAAAATCCATGCATCTTCTAATAATGAAGATTAAATGTGATGATGTGAAAAAATATACCATACTAGTATAAAGCAAATGAAAAACAGACATGCTTGTTAATCCACAAGCACTACTATAACAGGTCTATCTGGAATGAAATAATACTTATGACATTAAGAAATACGATTCATGTCTCAATGTATGGCTGAAGAGTTTTATTAGTGGTACAGTCTACCTTGTTGACAGACTCTGTCTGCCCCTGAAGCCCTAAAACACCACCAAAGTTATGGAGCATGCACCATATAAATGGCTGCCCTGCAAATGAGTCTAACTGTTCATACAAAGGCTGGCGCTCTGCATTCAAGTCAAGAACAATCATTCTGCCCTAGAAAGAAGTTATTCGGGGTCATAAAACCTGATACTTGTAGAAATAAATTTGTATTAACGAATTGGCTTTTAATGCCTTTGTATATCTATTTTAACATATCTTTTTCAGAAAATTGTCACTTGTATTTGAAAAATATTTCCAAGTTATAATTTTGAATAAATAAAAATAAGATTTTAAACATTTTCAAATAAATCAGAATTATATTTAAACATAATCAAAATTACTCTCTGTCGGCTGATTAAAGGGAAAATGCACAAGAATGTCCCAAACCAACCTGTGGCACTGACGTCAGCAAAGCCTTAGCCCTGTCAGCATTCCAAAATGAACTCAAGAACAGCCAAGCCTGCATAAGCCTAGAACATATGTCAAGATGTCAAGACCAGTGGAATAAATTTAGTATTATCAGCTTTTTAAGAACAAAGCACCTAATACAGCTTAACATTTTTTCCTCACCAAATTAAAAGAGTTTGCAACAGGTTATATTGCCATGCATCTACAATAATATTTTCAGTTATTTCTTGGATACTCTCAAACTACTCAGTTCAATGTATCACATCAATGCCAGTTACCATATTGCTTGAGGATCACCTGATTCCATTCCTTTAAACACAGCTTTTCCAGCACCAGATATATATGACAGGGCCCTGAAACAACACAGCACTGCTTACATACTTTGTTAATTATCAAGCTCTACATTTTCAAGAGTGGATTTAGATCAGAAATTTACATACCAAATGCTTTTATTTCATTGTCTACCGCTACCAAACATAGACAATTACAAAAATTTTAATACATTGTGCAAAAATGCATTAATTACATTCAGCTTTAAAGTGAGATATAAAATGTTACCCTGATGATGGAGTCATTTCATTAAAAGTGTCAGCATTGTAGATGTGGTTGGTTCCATTAAATTCTTTACTCATCTGTCAAAAAAAAAAAAAAACAATAATATGATAAACCCTCAATAAACCTATTCCCTCAATGTGGAAGGAAATAGTTTCATATTACAGTGGTATGCAAAACACATTTTGAAACACAGAGCATATTGATCAAACTTTTGATAATTTTAATGACCAATATTTCAGTTCAAGATGGGGCAATACTCTACAGAAAAAGAAAGTACAAACATATTTTAACAAAAAGTGAGTAAAATTGAAAACAGCAATTGTATTCCTCTTGTTCATAAAAATCCAAAACATTTCCCTCTTGCCACATAAAAAATTATTTACCTCTTCAATAAATGCTTGCCCAACTTTGACAAACATGGGATCATTAGGGTCAAGGAGATACGTGCTGTAATAAAAAATCTTCAAGCTTATTTATACCACATCTTTATAAACACATGCCTGCACAAAAAACATCAAATTCATTCATTAGAGAAATGTAGATTTTGTGACCAATTACAGATTGAAGAAGATATTTAAAAAAGACATTCCAAAAGGGCACACATTACTGTGGCCAGCAATAACATCACAAAGCAAGCCCAGCAAAGCCCTCAAAAGGAAAAAGGATAAGCAACAACTGGTGCCATGACCTAGGCTGATACCAAAAGACTAGGCTTAAATTATAGAGAGCTTAAGGAAGACCTCAAGACTGGGGCTAATTGAGGGAACTTGTAGGTGGCCTATACCCCAGTGAGGCAATGCGCATAAGTAAGCACAGTAAGTACTCAAACCACTCTGTATTCAAACCAATGTCACATTATAACAGTTATATAGTTTGACAGTGCTTTTGATCTTCACATTACTAAAATGTATTTTTTACTTTGACATGTTACCACTCTATCTTATTTGAGACAAGTTTCAAAATGTGCCATTTATTGCCAAGTAGAAAAGTCTCACCAGCAGTATTTGGGATCTGCAAAACCTGCCCATCCACCCAGCCTCGTACAGTTGACATTAGGATACACTCTGAAATTAAAATCATCCATATCAATAACTTACAGACATATATCTCATGATACTCTTTTTCACTGCAGGGTTTATCCCTAATGCTATATTCTAGTTGTTGACTTGTTAGGAATCAAAGTCTTATCAAGGATCAATGGCACTGATATGTCCAAAAAACAATTAGATATTGATAAGTCTATTTGATATCAAAAGATAAATCTTTAAATAAATTATGAATCAAAATTTTAATACTTCTACTCCACTCCAAGAATACCTTGTAAATCCTTCTGGGATATGTCCTGCAAATCCTGGCAGTACAGGCAGCATACCCAATTCTCTCATTCGTCTCAGTATCTGATGTTGTAGCTTTAGCTGGTTGTCTAACCAGGTTTGTGGTATGGGTCCACCAAACCCACGCATATTCCCCATTCTGCCCCTAATTGTAGAATATTTCATTTGGATTAAAATCTGAATACTACCGTGGGGTGAGTCAGATTTTCATTATGAAAATCTGACTGGGGAGTCACATTTTCATAATGAAAATCTGACTGGGGAGTCACATTTTAGGGGAGTCAGATTTTCATGGTACACCTGTCCGGTAACTTTTCATTACCTGTTACTATGAGCGGAAAGGCCATCCTGTCCATCATACAAAAATAAAGCAATGTAAAATCAACAATGCATATTAGTTCTACTGGAAAAACTATTGCTATGTAATTTTAGCACACAATTTGCAAATCTTGTACACTTACCAAGCAAGAAAAGCAGGACCAGCAAAGTGCTCATCCAAATCCTTTTGTGAGAGACCCAGTTTGAGATAAACCTTAAATGATAAAAAATTAATCGTGTTTTTAACAAAGCAACTTGGAAAAAATCAAACAACAAAAAATTTATTTTTCAATCATAACTTCCTGTTACCTTCTGCCATATTGCCTCCTGTCCAGTGAAAGCCAGGGGTAGGTTTATTCCATTCAGGGCCATCCAGTCAATCTCCCGCTCCCACCTTGTCCAGTTCCACCACACAAAGGAGTAGCTTGATGTACACACATTCTGATAGTAGCGGAACCTGAGAGCAAAAAATAAGTTTTAAAAATAGACAAAAAAAAAAAAAAAACAAAACAAAACAAAAAACAAATAAATAAATAAACACCCCATGAAACAAACTTTGACTTACTGTAGCACTGATCAACTCTACAATGATCGGTTCTAAATATAAAAAGGAATTTATTACATAAGTACTGACTAACTGCACAATCTCTATATAATGTGCTTTAAAAGGTTATGTATACTATAGCAAAATTAGCACATCTTGCCTGTAGAACATTTAAAAAGTAAAAATACCTATCATTGGATGTTATTTTTATACCAGGATCAGGAACTGGTCTAAATCCTCTCCAGGTTTTCTGGTCTCCACCCCAGGAGAAGTGAAAGCCCTGGTAGTGTTTGAGATAATACTGTAAACCCCAGGCAGCAGCAACTCCTGTTGTACCAGTGACATGGATGACATTCTGCACTGTTTGCAGCTAAAGAACATATATCTTGAAAGTTAATTATTTTCATAGATGATTGTGAACATTTATGTACGAGTAATATTGGGTGGATAACAATGCACCATACCGCAATTTCAATTTCGCAAAACCTGTTAAACTATACTGTACTGCAACTACATTCTACTTGATACAAATACATAATGTTGTCTGGAATACACAGATGTTTTGACTCAGTACCTATCATATCCATATGATGCTCAATACAAAAATCATTATGATCTTTAAATGCATAGCTGGAATAGAGCTACATGAATCAGATTCAGCTAGCTTAACACATTAAAGCTAGCAATGGCATTTTCATTGAATGCAACAAGCTGCTTGTGCATCTGCTATGCACATTATTTTAAACCAGGACCAAATTCAGTTCAATGAGTGCCACTAAAATGCAAGTGTCTTGAATCAATGGAACATGGCTGTACATGTATATTTACCAGTAGCTAAGAGTAATATATATGTAAAGGTAGATAAGAAATAGTTGTAGTTAACATCATATACTGATACAATTACAGTGCACATAAAGCACGCAGAAATTAGGAAGACAAAAGAGAAGTACTAAAATGTATGAAATTTTAATTTGTAATTTCCATTTTAGGTATACACATAAGTTAAATGTAATATACTGAGTACAAGTAAAACAGTGATAGGAATACAGTGTACCTTAAAAGAGTCCCTATTTGGGACTCCTAACTCAGAATCTACTTTGAACTGAAAGAATTTGGCATTATCACCCAGTGCCCTTGTAGCTAGCGCCTTCACAGCAGCCTCCTGGATGTCTGGTGGTACCTTGGTGTGTAGGTGGTCCAACGTTGGAAACTCAACAGATGCAGTAACATGCCTGTCTCCAGGAGCAAACAAAAGAAACAAGATGACCTGAAAAACAATTTATGAGAATTATGTGCACACTGTAAGCCTGACTCTTCAGGATGCAGCATTACTTGTTTCATGTAAAGCAGCTTGCACATTCATGCATTAGTTCTCTGGTCCTACTAAATAGAAAAACCATGCATGAAAAATCCTTGAATACCTCAAGGTACATGCTAGTATGTATTCTGCTCCATGAAAACCACAAGAAAACCTCCCAAAAGTCAATGTAATTGGCAAATTTACCAAATATTTAGATAATTTAGACTTAATTTCATTGCTAACACCCAATGCAACAGTACATATCAGAGACCGTATAGGAGTGCAAACACAAGAAATTCCATGCTTACACTGCATGTAGACTACATGGAGAAGATGACAAATTAATGGAGTGCTGGTATAGTGCGGTGTAGGTATCATGCAGTAGTGTTTAAAGGGATAATAACTCTTCGTATGAGATTTATATTTCACAATAAAAACATTGTGAATAACTCAGAGAAATGTGATATATATCTGTTTTACCACAAAAACGGCAGTTATAGCTATTATTCTGACATCTGAGCTGGTCTTCAGACCACATGACCTCCACTGAAGGCTGTACTCTGTCATAATCTCTTAAGAGATTTTAACAAAAAACCAAACTTTTCAGAAAAAAACCAGGGACTTACTTTGAATGTAAAAATGGATTCATTAACCATTGGTAAGTATGGGAAAAATGCTCCTTACTCCAGGAAAATTCATTTTTTGGCTAAAACAAAGAGTTATTATCCCTTTAATCTTAGATCCATAAATGAAAAATCCATAAATGTGTGTGTATGTGCATGTGTGTGTATGTTTTTAAAAAGAATATAAGTAGTATACATGTGAGTGTGTGTGTGTGTGTGTGAGAGAGAGAGAGAGAGAGAGAGAGAGAGAGAGAGAGAGAGAGAGAGAGAGAGAGAGAGAGAGGGGAAGAGAAAGTGATGTCCTAAGGCACGTAATTTAGTAGAACGTTAACAGGTTTAAATTGCACAGTGCATATTTGCTAATAAATAAATAAATAAATAAATGAATGAATGAATAAAATAAAATAAAATACTGACTGTCATTGTAATTTTTGATCATCAAACCGATATTTCTTTTAAATTTTGGAGATTAAAATTTCAACCAAATTGAGTTTATGCTGTTGGACCCTTTGTGCCATAGAAATAGAAAGACTGTGTACTTCTATGGTTTGTACCAAAGAATTATAGCTCTTTTCCGCTCTTTTTGTACTCACCGCACACCGTGTTGACATCATTTCACACCAGGAAGTGACTTCAAGACAGCCAACTTCTGTTACTAAAATAACTTCCGGTTTACTAATAGCCTACTAATTTTATTTATTTCATATTTTGATTTATTTAATATAAATATATATAACATTATCTTTTATAATAATTCAATTTATTCAGCCTATCTACACTTAAGAAATATGAGCAATATATCTATGCTAAATATGTTTATAAATGTTCTTTGAAACCTTCCCGGCAGTCATTGGGGATGTAGCTCAGTGGTAGAGCGCACGCTTCGCATGTGTGAGGCCCCGGGTTCAATCCCCGGCATCTCCACGTGTTTTTTTTCTTTTCTTTTCAAAATATCTCATGCATACTTTGAAAATTAAAATGTGGGGGGAAAAAACACTTACATTAATGAAAATAAAACAAATCAAAAACCATTTAACATCATTACTACACACTGGTGAGCCCATCAACATAAAAATGTTTATTTAAAAAGATATATGTTCAATACAATGAAAATTACATTTCTGATGCTGTAAACAACTTAGTCAAATGGCCACATTCAGAACAGTGGACTAACTATTCCGTGGGTCAAATATGGCAACCCACAAAAAAACTTGCCGTCTTAATCCGCTTATAGACACTGAATAGATATCCCGTGGGGAAGTATTCAAGTGGGTCAGCCAAATTTGACCGTAGTCCACTGTTCTGAATGCAGCTAAATGAAAGTGCAAGGGTATACAGTCTCATAGATTTTAAATGGTCAAAAAACTTCTTCTAATAGCAAGTTATAATATACCTTATATCCATTTTTACATGGGTTTGCAATAGGCATCATTTGCAATGGTCTAAAAAGATGCTTGGAACAGTGTGTGATATGTAATGTAAGTGAGTCTAGATAAAGTGAAAGAATCCCTATATTGTAAGCTATATGGGTAAAACTCTTTGCACTGGGAATTTCTTTGTACAAAAACTGTGTATATAGAGAATCTGTACTTTTGTTATATATACATATATTGCATAAGATATATACATATAATATGCATATATTGCTTTCTTAAGCATAAGAAAACAAAAAGAAACATATTTGACATATTTGTAGATAAACTGTCAGCTTTTATTTGTAGCGGATTTTGAACCTTAATTTATTTTTGGCCCCACTCTCCTCAAAATCCTGCCAAATTCTGGATATCTCAGATAATGCCCATTCCAAACATGTTTTTAAAAAGAATATAACTAGTATGTAACAGCACTGAAGTTACTTATGTAATTAGTTCAAATACAGTGACACAATTTATGACATGTAATTGAGGAATTTAAATCAAGGAATTGTATACATCACTGCATAAATACAGCATGCTAGTACACCTAAAGCAGTCCAGCTGCTTCAAACCTTTAGGGCATTAAAATATCTTTATGAACAAAGAAATCCAATAGTATCCTGAACTTCTTACAATTATACTGAATTAAAACAATGTACACTTAACCATAGTGTTTATTCATCATTATCCAATGAAATCTTGTGTATTTTATTACACTGTATANACATAAAAAGTAAAAATACCTATCATTGGATGTTATTTTTATACCAGGATCAGGAACTGGTCTAAATCCTCTCCAGGTTTTCTGGTCTCCACCCCAGGAGAAGTGAAAGCCCTGGTAGTGTTTGAGATAATACTGTAAACCCCAGGCAGCAGCAACTCCTGTTGTACCAGTGACATGGATGACATTCTGCTCTGTTTGCAGCTAAAGAACATATATCTTGAAAGTTAATTATTTTCATAGATGATTGTAAACATTTATGTACGAGTAATATTGGGTGGATAACAATGCACCATACCGCAATTTCAATTTCGCAAAACCTGTTAAACTATACTGTACTGCAACTACATTCCACTTGATACAAATACATAAGTTGTCTGGAACACACAGATGTTCTGACTCAGTACCTATCATATCCATATGATGCTCAATACAAAAATCATTATGATCTTTAAATGCATAGCTGGAATAGAGCTACATGAATCAGATTCAGCTTAACACATTAAATGGCAATGGCATTTTCAGTGAATGCAACAAGCTGCTTGTGCATCTGCTATGCACATTATTTTAAACCAGGACCAAATTCAGTTCAATGAGTGCCACTAAAATGCAAGTGTCTTGAATCAATGGAACATGGCTGTACATGTATATTTACCAGTAGCTAAGAGTAATATATATGTAAAGGTACATAAGAAATAGTTGTAGTTAACATCATATACTGATACAATTACAGTGCACATAAAGCACGCAAAAATTAGGAAGACAAAAGAGAAGTACTAAAATGTATGAAATTTAAATTTGTAATTTCCATTTTAGGTATACACATTAGTTAAATGTAATATACTGGTACAAGTAAAACAGTGATAGGAGTACAGTGTACCTTAAAAGAGTCCCTATTTGGGACTCCTAACTCAGAATCTACTTTGAACTGAAAGAATTTGGCATTATCACCCAGTGCCCTTGTAGCTAGCGCCTTCACAGCAGCCTCCTGGATGTCTGGTGGTACCTTGGTGTGTAGGTGGTCCAACGTTGGAAACTCAATAGATGCAGTAACATGCCTGTCTCCAGGAGCAAACAAAAGAAACAAGATGACCTGGAAAACAATTTATGAGAATTATGTGCACACTGTAAGCCTGACTCTTTAGGATGCAGCATTACTTGTTTCATATAAAGCAGCTTGCACATTCATGCATTAGTTCTCTGGTCCTACTAAATAGAAAAACCATGAAAAATCCTTGAATACCTCAAGGTACATGCTAGTATGTATTCTGCTCCATGAAAACCACAAGAAAACCTCCCAAAAGTCAATGTAACTGGCAAATTTACCAAATATTTAGATAATTTAGACTTAATTTCATTGCTAACACAGAATGCAACAGTACATATCAGAGACCGTATAGGAGTGCAAACACAAGAAATTCCATGCTTGCACTGCATGTAGACTACATGGAGAAGATGACAAATTAATGGAGTGCTGGTATAGTACGGTGTAGGTATCATGCAGTAGTGTTTAATCTTAGATCCATAAATGAAAAATCCATAAATGTGTGTGTATGTGCATGTGTGTGTATGTTTTTAAAAAGAATATAAGTAGTATACATGTGAGTGTGTGTGTGTGTGTGTGTGTGTGTGAGAGAGAGAGAGAGAGAGAGAGAGAGAGAGAGAGAGAGGGGGGGGGGAGAAAGTGATGTCCTAAGGCACGTAATTTAGTAGAACGTTAACAGGTTTAAATTGCACAGTGCATATTTGCTAATAAATAAATAAATAAATAAATAAATAAATAAATAAATAAAATAAAATACTGACTGTCATTGTAATTTTTGATCATCAAAACCGATATTTCTTTTAAATTTTGGAGATTAAAATTTCAACCAAATTGAGTTTATGCTGTTGGACCCTTTGTACCATAGAAATAGAAAGACTGTGTACTTCTATGGTTTGTACCAAAGAATTATAGCTCTTTTCCGCTCTTTTTATACTCACCGCACACCGTGTTGACATCATTTCACACCAGGAAGTGACTTCAAGACAGCCCACTTCTGTTACAAAATAACTTCCGGTTTACTAATAGCCTACTAATTTTATTTATTTCATATTTTGATTTATTTAATATAAATATATATAACATTATCTTTTATAATAATTCAATTTATTCAGCCTATCTACACTTTAGAAATATGAGAAATATATCTATGCTAAATATGTTTATAAATGTTCTTTGACACCTTCCCGGCAGTCATTGGGGATGTAGCTCAGTGGTAGAGCGCACGCTTCGCATGTGTGAGGCCCCGGGTTCAATCCCCGGCATCTCCACGTGTTTTTTCTTTTCTTTTCAAAATTTCTCATGCATACTTTGAAAATTAAAATGTGGGGAAAAAAAAAAAAAAAAAAAAAAACACTTACACAAATGAAAATATAACAAATCAAAAACCATTTAACATCATTACTATACACTGGTGAGCCCATCAACATAAAAATGTTTATTTAAAAAGATATATGTTCAATACAATGAAAATTACATTTCTGATGCTGTAAACAACTTAGTCAAATGGCCACGTTCAGAACAGTGGACTAACTATTCCGTGGGTCAAATATGGCAACCCACAAAAAAACTTGCCGTCTTAATCCGCTTATAGACACTGAATATATATCCTGTGGGGAAGCATTCAAGTGGGTCAGCCAAATTTGACCGTAGTCCACTGTTCTGAATGCAGCCAAATGAAAGTGCAAGGGTATACAGTCTCATAGATTTTAAATGGTCAAAAAACTTCTTCTAATAGCAAGTTATAATATATCTTATATCCATTTTTACATGGGTTTGCAATAGGCATCATTTGCAATGGTCTAAAAAGATGCTTGGAACAGTGTGTGATATGTAATGTAAGTGAGTCTAGATAAAGTGAAAGAATCCCTATATTGTAAGCTATATGGGTAAAACTCTTTGCACTGGGAATTTCTTTGTACAAAAACTGTGTATACAGAGAATCTGTACTTTTGTTATATATACATATATTGTTTTCTTATGCTTATGGCATTCTATATATAGACTGCCATAAGCATAAGAAAACAAAAAGAAACATATTTAACATATTTGTAGATAAACTGTGTCAGCTTTTATTTGTAGCTGATTTTGAACCTTTATTTTTGGCCCCACTCTCCTCAAAATCCTGCCAAATTCTGGCTATCTCAGATAATGCCCATTCCAAACATGTTTTTAAAAAGAATATAACTAGTATGTAACAGCACTGAAGTTACTTACGTAATTAGTTCAAATACAGTGACACAATTTATGACAATTTGTAATTGAGGAATTTAAATCAAGGAATTGTATACATCACTGCATAAATACAGCATGCTAGTACACCTAAAGCAGTCCAGCTGCTTCAAACCTTTAGGGCATTAAAATATCTTTATGAACAAAGAAATCCAATAGTATCCTGAACTTCTTACAATTATACTGAATTAAAACAATGTACTGTACACTTAACCATAGTGTTTATTCATCATTATCCAATGAAATCTTGTGTATTTTATTACACTGTATACTANGTACACCTAAAGCAGTCCAGCTGCTTCAAACCTTTAGGGCATTAAAATATCTTTATGAACAAAGAAATCCAATAGTATCCTGAACTTCTTACAATTATACTGAATTAAAACAATGTACACTTAACCATAGTGTTTATTCATCATTATCCAATGAAATCTTGTGTATTTTATTACACTGTATATACATTATATACAGCTTTAACTGCCATTTGCAGCACTGTTTTTAAACATCTGTACATAGGAGGTCATTCTGGCAGGATTAGATGTACCTAAAATGAATAAATGCAAGATTATATAATTATTATACTAAATTGAGTTTACAAATTAAGAAACTGTCTCTCAAAAATTTCTTATACAATCATTGCAGCTTTTGCAAAAAAGGAAATGCACACCTTGTCATAGATCAATAGTCCCCTTTTTAAGTATAAAAAATACAAAAATTCAAAATTTTAAGGTTCTGCAACAAAATCAATACATATTCCCTGTATATCAAATATTCATAATTACCTATTTTGTTCTTGTTTAGCATATCAAACATACTATATGATGGAGGTGGAGTATGCCTGATAACCGTTGAACTGTTCCATCCTGGTTTGCCTTTTTCTTTCTTTTTCCTGCAACAAACATGGTCTTTAATTGTCACAATCATTCACAAATCTCTCAAATCTGTTCAAAATTTAACTCAGTTGCTTTTAAGCTTCCCTTAGCAAAATATCAGGCCTGCAAATTTGCAACATATATGCAGTATTATTACTGCAAACTGCAATTCCTTCTTGCAAATTTGCAGCAAATTTGCTGCAATATATGATTGCAAATTAGCAAGAATAACATTTTTCTTACAAACTCGTTGCTGCACACTTTTCATTTTGCCGAGGGTTGTGATATGATTATTGCCTCCAATCCATTTACACAAGTTCAGAAAATTGCTTTAAAAGACTCACTCTTTCTTCTTGGCAGGTATTACACCAAATTCTTCATTGTCTTTTCTGTAAAATACAAAACAAACAACTTTGCAATCTCACGCATATCTCACAGAAAGGTGTTTTGTCCTGAATTAAAGCAAAGTACTTATAATTAACTGTCAAGTGTCACTGTGTCAGTATTAATTGTAAAAATACTTATTGCCAGCAGGCAAAAAATTACTCTGTTGTGAACATTTAGCCACTACTAAATCTGACAAAATATGTATCTTTTTAAAATCATTCCTCTTTTTCTATCTTAATTCAAATGGAGGAAGAAGATTTATGTTAAATAAGTTATTTTATAATTGGTCAGCAATATGTTACTCAAAATATGCCATGTTTTAACCTCTTAAAGAAAAACTAGATATCAACAAAACTGCTTAAAATAAAAATAAAAACACAGCTGTTTTTACCAATAAAATTATTATCAGTTATGTCTTCAAAACTTTTTGTTCAATTGCACAATTTGATGACACTGAATATATCATGTATGTGTTGATTATCTAACCTTTGGCATTTTTTCTTTTGATAGGCTCTCCAGGCAGCCTGGATTACTCTGGCAGCTCGTGTGTGCTCAATGCGTTTTCGTCCCCAATAATATCGCCATGCTCTCTGAATAACAATTGCTGCATGTTTTCTACGAAATTCCATTACAGCCTATAGAAATGAAAAGAAGATATTATTCAATGGGGACTTAAACTTTATCCTCATTTTAAGGTAAAACATGTAGACTCTTTCTTCTAAACAAACAATTACTGAAACCATATTTCTTAGTTAAAAGATGCTATTTTAATTTTCCACCTGAAAGGCAAAACTCCTGCATTAAAAAAATTATAATAAATGCAGTGCCTGATAATTTAAGAATCAAAGACAATTAAGAGTTTGTAACCTGTTCTTTTCGGTCTCCATTTGTGACACCACCTTTGCTTCTGAGGAATTCTGCTGTGTCTGCATGCTCCTTTTTGTAAGCAAAATCAAGTGGTGTGTTTCTGCAAATATGAAAATAAAATAATGCATGTTTTAAAGAATCCAAGCAGCATGCCCACAGGAAAGATCTCGAGGACCTTTAAGAAAAATAAATTTCAATCCCGCTTGTCAATATCTTGGATCTGCCAGTGTCAATGAATACATGTCAAATAGTAAAATGGAATGTCTCAAAAATTATTGTCAACTTTTGCAAAATAAAATAAAAAATGAAGTTTCACAATAGCATATCTATAAATATCTATTATTTACAGAACTCACCTTTCATTGGAATTGTCTTCAGGATTGACCTGAGCACCATGCTGGATCAAGATGTCACAGCACTTAGTATGTCCTTCCCCAGCAGCCAGATGGAGAGCAGTACACCCTTCAGTGTCTTTCCTTTCACAGTCTACGCCTTGCCTAAAAATATGATTTTGTCTTTTAGAATAATTCACATTAGACCAATAGAATATTTCACTGCAGAAAAAAATACAAATATTTGCTTTTAAGACATTTGATGCATATATACCCCATTATCATGTCAGAATAGAAAGTTTACTATTAATTTGATATAATATCTTTCTATGTTTCATATCTCCTATTCAATAAAGCAGCAGAGTCTCGATTGGGGCATGGCTTTGCTCTGATGTGGTTTTGTAGCAATGCATTTTTCCAATAATTGTGCTTCAACGTCATAATTATAATTCACTTACTTTAACAAAAGCTGCAGGATCACCTCTTGTCCACTCAATGCAGCTACTTGAAGAACACTTAAAATAAAAAGAATTTATCAATTTTCAATGCAGATATGAAAAACTAAGAATGACACAATGGGTACTGGGTCATTAAATGTTTAATGTCTCTGTTAGAAAAATTAACTTTTAAAAACTTTCTTTCAAATCTTCCTGATTTTGATACAGTGCATATCCCCTGATACAGCTGAATCAAAGATATACCTCTGATATGCTTTTTCATCCACTGTTTTCATGTCTATGATAGAAGAAATCAGAAGTTTTGTTGTTTCTACATGACCGTTTGCAACAGCATAATGGAGGGGGAGTCTAGAAAAGCAATGAAGAGTAACCTGACGTTTTGTTTCATATCAAACACAGTGATTTTTGTAATAATTTAAAGTTTGAATTCAGTAATAATTTGCAAAATTACAACCAGGTTTTATTAAAGTACAGTCTAAAACTACGTAAATATGTATATTTTAAGGGCATGCTACAATGTATATTACATTTACAACTCAGAAATAATTCTACAGGGCTTATGCGGCTTCAAAATTCACCTTTTAGAATAGGTAGAAAAATTCACATTTACTAACCTTTTTGGATTATCAATTATATAGAGGTCTGCTCTCTTATCCATCAGATATTTCACACAGTCTGTGTGGCCGTTCATTACACAGTAAAAGATGGGTGAACGTCCCAGTTTACATAGTGTGTCAACCTGGAAGGCAAAAGAAAAAAAAAATTCTTACAAAAATATCAATCAAGGCATAAGTATTAATAAATAGCAAATGTATTATTTAATCTTATTGACATTTTTGAATTAAAAAATAAACGAATAAATAAAATAAAATTATAAAAACTCTACACTTGCACATACCAGTATGTGCCTTACCTTGGCCCCACCTTCTACAAGTGTTTTACAGAAGTCCAAGTTGCCAACATCAGCAGCATGATGAAGAGCTGTCATTCCCTATTAAGGTTTTCAAACACAACAAAATAACACATTTACAGCTGCACTGGATGACACTATATTTTTTTTCGTAACATATATATTATACACAATTTCTATTATAGTCTAATAAAGAAGGTAGACTACAGTGTACTCCATACAGTTAGTGTTAAAAAATTAGTGGTAAATAAATGCTCTCCTGAACAAACTTAAATCCATTAAAAGTTACTACAGATTTTAAAAACAAGTATAATATAAGAATAATCAATGACAGTACATGTACATGTTCAGATGATGCCAAATATGCAAATTTCATTATTTACAGTCATACAATGCAAATATAAGACTGAACAAAAAAATCCTTAATAAACCCTATGAATTACATCCTATTAGTACAACCATTGAAAAAATAACAATGTACCTTAGATTTTGTCATTCTAAGTTAAAGTATCAACCAGTTTCCCCTTTGAGAGTGACTGATCATTTTATCAACAGTTACTGTAACTTTTTCATTGGATTTTCATAAAGTGTACTGTACCAGTGCATATATAACTTTTTTGGTTTGGGAGAGTTTTTATCTCTAGGAAAATTAATACTTTCCAAATAAAACAAAAATGCAAATACTTAGTAAATAATGGAAATTTTTACCACCTATGTAAAACCAAAATCAAAATATAATGTTGGTGAAATAATTTTGAAGTATTTCCACACTAAGACTTCATCCAAACTATACCTGTTCATCTCCTGCATCTGCCTTAAGTGGTCCTTGCTTTTGCACAATCATATTGAATATATTTTTCTTGCCCAAATGTAAGGCAAGCATCAATGGGGTTTTCCCATCATCATCTACAACATCTAAATTGCAACCCTGAAAAAATTAACAACATGCTGACTAACTTGTCTTCAAATGTACTGACAGAACAGAGCGAGATTGGAACTTTTCTATTTTGCAGTGCAGTTTAAAACACTATATAGAACTAAATTCACCCCAATTTCAAATCCATGTATTTTATTCTACAATAAATATTTGAATAAAAAATTTAGTTTCAACTGCAAGTCAGTTTGATCACTGATCCATAGAATTTTTGACCATCTACAGAAAGATTTTTTTCACTTAATATTCACAAATATTTTTCTGACTAATTTTTGTTTTGTGAGAATTTTTCACAGAATTGACCTCATTACTCTAGATCAAGTTGCCAATTTTTCCCATTTATATATATTCTGTGTATTATTAAAGATGGGTCCCACTGTTAACAGGGCCCTAATGTAAACAATTGTTATTCAATTGTTGATAAAATATTAGACAACAGATCTACACAATGGCCTCTAACACTGATGCTATGCAAGTACCTTATCAACCAATGTCTCTACAGCTTGCTGCTTGTTGTGTTGAATACCAAGATGAATGGGTGTATTTCCAAGATCATCAACTTCATCAATTACCATAGTGTTTTCAAATCCAAGCAGGTACTCCACACAGTTTGTCTTAAAAAAACATGATTAACAAATATTTTCTACAAACAGATTTAAATCCATTAAAAACAATAATAATAATATATATAAGAATTATCAGAGGAGTTTTACCTTTACATAATTCATTTTTCAGCTACAAAATAAGACATAATTATAAGCCAAAATCAACTCATAATTGTTAAAACATTACAGTAATTGGTACAAAGGAAAATTGTTTTTACTCAGAGTTTTTGGTAACCTTACCCTTCCTTCTTGAACTGCCCAGTGAAGAGGCAGTCTTCCAAGATTGTCTTTCTCTTTCACTCCCTGACGATCATGTAACAGGTAAAGCTGAACTAGAGGCAGGTGACCCTAAATCAATGTTCAAAGACAGGGATATGAAATAACAAATGTGTCCACCTCATTTATATAACCTTTCACAGTTACCTATCCACTTTCACAGAGTATCTTTCCATATATTTACATTACCTTTAACTACAAGAAGTAATAATAATAATAATAATAATAATAATAATAATAATAATAATAATAATAATAATAATAATAACTAGACTGCAACTGGCTTAAGCCAGTGGCGGAGGATTCCCCTGCAAAATAGGTGTGGAAAGGCTCTTACAATAAGGTCATGTGNTAAAAGTAGGTCATTATATGTGGATTCACCTCAGTATCACTGACCATAAGGCCCATAGCCATACAGCTTATACTTAAGGCCTAATGTCAATTTCAAATTTTACAAATTTTGCCTTTAAAAGCCCCTGTGACCTTGAAAAGTAGGTCAAGGTCACTGAAACTGGGTCTGTGGCATATTCTTGCCATACGCTACCTATGATAATTATTTCAGATTTTTTGCGAAAAAAAACGCGCGGAAAGAATAACTATAATAATACCAAAAACAATAGTATTCCCCTATGGGGAATCCTAATAATAATAAATAAATAAATAAATAAATAAATAAATAAATTAAATGTTATTTAAATATAATTACCCTTTTAGCAGCCAAGTGCAAAGCTGATTGGCCATATTTGTCACAAATTGATGCCATAGAGTGATCTGCTTTCAGTAATAAGCCTGCACAGGAGGCTCCCTATAAAAGAGAAGAAAACAGCATATCTTTATAAAACATACAGCCATGCTGTTATATACCGAGTCCAATGAGGTCAGAAGTTATCATTTTTGAAAAAAAAAAAAAAAAAACACTAGGATGTTTTTAGATAAAAATACTGGGGTACTTATGAATCTCTTAAACATACCCCCTTCATTTATTTTCATGACCATCCACTTTTAATAAAATGCAATACTGCTTTAAATTCTCAGGTAATTTGCCAGATAATGCACTAGGTACATGTGCTTTGACAAACCTTGTTAGCCAGAGTGGCAAGGTGTAAAGCTGTCTGACCCTCAGCATCCTGAAGGCGCAGATTAACACCACAATTCAAGAGCATCTGCACCTGAAAAATAAACAATGAAAACAGATATAACATCGATGAATTACTTTGAAAGAAAGATGCTCAAGTATTTTATAGTTACCTCCGCCTGTTTGTCTGTTTGTTTGTTTGTCATCAACATAACTCAAAAAGTTATGGACCGATTTTGATGAAATTTTCAGGAACTGTCAGAAGTGGGCCAAGGAAGAGATGATTACTTTTTGGTGGTGATCCGGATCAATAATCAATCAATAATCAATAATAATAATAAATCACTGCCTTGGCGGAGGTCTGCGCTCTCGGAGTGCTTTAATTTTTTATCTAATAGAAACAGTAAAGGCTAAGCCTTCAACAGAAATGGAATTTATAAAAATCTTAAAAGAAAGTGATCCAAGCCAGGGAGGATGGACAATATGGGACATTGGTAAATAAAAATCATCTTTCTCTGAATTTCAGCCTTTTTTATGCATATGTCTACATCAAGGTATAAGTACCCCACCAAAAACTTAATTTGTGTATATGCTTAATCTTACAATATTGAATTTAATTGATTAACCCTATAAGAGCTGTGCAAAACTTAGATCACCATAAAGTAGATCACCATTTAGCAGCAGGTAAACAAATATCTGTCTGTGGGTTACAACATGGACAGATGTGGATATCCTGAATATGTGCAGATGCTTACATTACAGCCACAAAAGGTACCAAACAGCTGAGCAAATAACTAATCGATAAAGAGAAAGAAACTTCTAATCTTTGAGCCACATAGATTTATTTTACTGGTTGAAAAGGTATGAAAAATGAAAGAATATTCATATGACAATAAACAAGCAAGCAAGCAAGCTAGCAAACAAAGGGAAAGGAGCCCCTGTCACTTGAAGGAAAAATACTAATAAAATAGGCTGATATATGTGCAAGAGGGACAAGAGGTCGCACAGAGGGCATCTGCTTTTCCCTGGCTTCCCTAAAGAGCATGAGGACATGGTAGCCACTCCCCAAGGGGTACCCAATATGCACCCAGCCATCACAATTGTGAACTTCATGGAGACAGATTTACCTGTAGTACCCAGTACCCACCATACATGTACTATTTTTAAATGTGAGAACTTTTGTAACAAATCAATACACAAAGAGCATAGGCTTCACTAACCCTCTGAGACAAAAATTGTTTCAAAGATGCTAAATTTAATGTCCAAACAGCCACTTTTGGCTTGAAATACTGATGTGTAAATGTACCCTTTGCATTTATGAAATTCACTGATGCTACAAACAAATCAAAATTTATTGACCAGAAATATTATTTTGGTTCAATGAACCTTTTCATCTTATCACGTTTTCTTTAACGTGGTCCTATGGCTGCCACAAATATATGGACCACCTTTGATGCTACCTTAATAACCATTCAAATAATCACCCTTGTGCCGCTTTAATGTTGCAATTCCTTTTGTTTTACACAGAAAGCAAATTCAATAGACAAATCATTAATTGTAAATGAGTTTTATAAAATAATCATCTCATGAACTTAACTACTAATTTGAATACTGATCATTGCTTAATTTCACAGATTTATGAGTTTTGATAATTTAAAAATGTTTGATAGATTTTGATAGATTTTTCAAAAAGTATTTGATCTATTTTTAAAGTGACATTTAGACTGGCTAATTTTTGCATAAACCTGCTTAATTGAGCTTTCTAGTCGCATGCAGTTATACATTTTATCTCCATTTTGAAGAAACTTCAGAACCTTGAACTGCACATTCATCCTTAATCAAGATTGTAAAAGTTTTGATTTAAAGACACATTAATTTGTGAAAAAGATCTGTCAAAGACTATACTACACTAACACTCCCACAAAGAAAAAAAATTCAAGTCTGACACTAGGAAAGTGTATAGATAAAAGTTTGTAAAGCAGTTACTTTCAAATTCAGCTGTCATCTTTTGTAATCAAAATCATAATCAACTGTTGCAGATCAGTATTTTTCTATTGTTTTAACAGGTCAATAATAATTTTTCTAACATCATAATATTGATGGTACTGTATGTACTGATGGTACATGATGAAACTTTCAAATACTGTACCTTTTCTGCAGATGCTTGCTGACATGCCAACATTAAAGCTGTCTTTCCATTGTCACAAGTTTGATTGACATCTATTCCAGTGTCAAGTAACACTTGTATACTTCTAAAGCTTCCGACCTTCACAGCGTAACACAAGAGAGGGACACCTTTCAGTTTGGCCTGGAATTCAAATGTGATTCTCTATATTTCATAAAATATCCATTCATAAGATTTTTCCTATTTTATTGTTTATAACATAAGAAGATTAAATTAGAAGACTAATAAGAATGACATAACACATTAAAATCTAATGAAAAACTTTTGCTCGAAGGTTAAAAATAAAATGTATCCATTTTTTCATTATTTTTGTCAGATGTTAGTTTACCTGAAGATCCCCCCCCCCACACACACACACATTAAGGGGAACTGTGGTATCTAAAATTAACTTCATGGCATTCTTACTATTTGACATTTAGTAAAATCTGCTGTTTATCAAACCTGGCAGTTTGGTTCATTAGAGTGTTTTGTCCCCACAAAAATTTGAAACCAGGTTCAAAGCAGGGGTCAACAATTGCCCCTATGCTACCTGGATCCACAATTGTAAAAACTGTTTCCAGTTGCTATTTATCTTAGTTGTCATGATGTTCTTGACCCCATTGTGCACCTGATCACCAAAGATAGAAAGGATGTCATGACTTTTTTCTAACCGATCATGATACACTGTAGTATTTCTTAGATACCTGTACACATTCACTGTGTGTACCTAGTGCTATTTTAACAATCCAGATAGGACAGCAAGGTCAACATACATATAATAATAGTAGCTGAACCATAGAAGGGAAACAGTCAGTCAAAAGTAAAAACTGGTTCTTTCCATTTTATGTTCAGTTCACCTTCACAATACTTGAAATCAATTTGTTCAACCAAGAATTCTTGTTTCTCACGTACCTGATCCAATTCTTTCTTTTTAAGAACTTGAAGTTTGTCTACCAGCTGTGTGTGGTCATTGGATTTGATATGCTTGAAAATTTTTGATACTTGGTCATTCTGAAAGAAAGAAACATTTTTTAAATAAAACTGGAAACAATTTTTGATCTTATTATTCCACATTAAAAACCATTATGTATCTCCTACATTTTAACTACAGATTACACATTAGTTTTTTATTAAAAATAATTAAATTTATATGTATATAAGTATATACTTACTTCATCTTCTTCATCAGTCTGACTTTCTGTCTCCACTAGAATCATGGGGGGAATTTGTTTCTGGTATAAAAAAGAAGTGTCCACCATGTATTTATAGATCCGTATTTACATGTCCACATACCAACTAAAGTATGTTATAAATATATTGTGGTAGTTAGTATTTATCAATTAAAATTTTTGCAAGTTTAAACCATTTAAAAACAGCAAAAACTTTAATAAAAAAATGTGTATCAACACAAATATGTAAGGATACAGGTTAAGGTACCGGTACCCTTAGGCTGACAGTGTTAACCAAAAAACATACTTTGTTTGAAATATAACTGAGGTAGCCTACTACTTAATATATATATATATATATATATATATATATATATATATATATATATATATATATATATATATA